CTTGAGGCGGGGGGGTGGATGGGGACAGCCGGGCCCCGTGTCACGCGTTACGTGTCTGCCGTAGGTAAGTGAGGAAAAATGGCCCGTACAAAGCAGACCGCCCGCAAGTCCACCGGGGGGAAGGCGCCGCGCAAGCAGCTGGCCACGAAGGCGGCCCGGAAAAGCGCCCCCTCTACTGGCGGCGTCAAGAAGCCTCACCGCTACAGGTAAGGCCCGCGGCTCGGCCTCAGCTGCCGCAGCCCCGGCCCGCCTCACCCGCCCCCCCTCCTTCTCCACCCAGGCCGGGGACCGTCGCGCTCCGTGAGATTCGTCGCTACCAGAAATCCACGGAGCTGCTGATCCGCAAGCTGCCCTTCCAGCGGCTGGTCAGGGAAATCGCCCAGGATTTTAAAACGGACTTGAGGTTCCAGAGTGCAGCCATCGGTGCGCTGCAGGTACTGCTGAGGGCCGGCCGGGCCGCGGCGCTGGGGGAGCTGCGCTGAGGGGTTCTAACGACATTTCTTCTTGTGCTCTTGAAACAGGAGGCCAGCGAGGCATATCTGGTGGGTCTGTTTGAAGACACAAACCTGTGTGCCATCCATGCCAAGAGAGTCACCATCATGCCCAAAGATATCCAGTTGGCTCGCAGGATACGGGGAGAGAGGGCTTAAGTGAAGGCTGTTTTTATGGTGTTTTGTAGTTAATTCTGTAAAATACTTTGGTTTTAATTTGTGACTTTTTTTGTAAGAAATTGTTTATAATATGTTGCATTTGTACTTAAGTCATTCCATCTTTCACTCAGGATGAATGCTAAAAGTGACTGTTCACATAAACCTCAGTGATGTTGAGCCTCGGGCTCGGGAGTGACAAGTTGCTAATATGCAGAAGGGATGGGTGTTCTTTCTTGCTTCTCATGCATGTTTCTGTATGTTAATGACTTGTTGGGTAGCTAAACTTGTAAGGTACTAGAATTGATATAAATGTGTACAGGGTCCTTTTGCAATAAAACTGGTTATGACTTGATCCAAGTGTTTAACAATTGGGGCTGTTAGTCTGACCATGCATCACTGTGATCAAATGTGGACTTCCTTCAGAGGGTGAAACTACAAGTCTTAACCACAGTGTAACTTACAGTTTCCTAAAAACGTAAACCTGGCAGCTATAGAATACACTATGTGCATTTATAATAGCTATTTTATATATTGTAGTGTCAACATTTTTAAATTAAATGTTTTACATTCACATGTGAGGAGTCTTTTTGTCATTTGCTTTGAATGGGCTGGAAGAAGCTTCCTCTTGGCTCCTGAGGTCAGCAGTAGATCCCTGTAATCCTGGACTGCTGCTGTGGAAAGTTAACCTCGTCTGTCAACAGAATGGAGAATTTTTGGCCGTTTTTGGAGGATTTTGGAGGTTTTTCTGTAGCTGGAGTCATTGAGTGGGCCGGTGAGAGCAGCTGTTGGGTCCAGGAGGATTGGCCTAGGCTGGCAGCAGCTTTTTTTGGGAGTCTCTTTTAAAGCTTATCAGAGCACAACTCCAGCACTAAAAGGGTTTTTTTTCTCCTCCTTTCTCGTGGATGCAGGGAAGTTTATTTTGGAGTTAAAGCAAAACCACCTGCTTGTTCCCAAGCACTGTTGGTGCTGAGGGTGGGGGGTGTGAGAGTTCCTGTGGGATTGGGCTGCGTGACAGTCCCGGATAATCACAGTGGGGTGGTGTGTGAGGGGAACAGCTAATTATACACCCTGGCAGCAGATGGGCTGCTGAGCAAAGGGGTGGGTGCTCTGAGAGAGTCTCATTTCCAGATTTTTGGATGAGAGTGGGATTATACTCAAACCTTCACTTGGGGCTCGGCTCAGGCAGGTTCCTCAGCAGCCAGACCTGGTTGGGCTGTGGTGGAGGAAAGTGCTCAGACTGCACCGGAACAGCAGGTAATTAACACTTAAATCAAATGGTGAGGCCCTCACAGAACAGGCTGCACTAGTAGGGCGGGAGATGTCATGGAACAGCAGCACAGGGAAGCAGTTGAGCCAGCTTGGCTTGATTTATTCCAATGAAATTAAAGTGCAGTGGCACTTCAGAGGGAAGAGCAGCAGCAGTTCCTACCAGTGTCTGCTGTAAGTCAGCGGTGGCTATCCATGATTGTCCCACCAGGATGGTGTGACACTGGTGTGAAAACCATCCCAAATCCTGCTCTGGGAGCCAGGGCCTGCATCCCTCACGTGCTGCTGGGGGAGGCTGGGACACCAATGCCTCATCATGAGGTTCTCCTTCCTCAGACAAACCACTCCGTGTGCTTAAATCCTGCAGCTGGAGGAACAGACACTCCTTACCCCGCACTCCTACACAACTTCCTCCTCACCTCCCTGTCCTACACCACTCCAAGCAAACCCAGGCCCTGGTTAACAGCATTAACCTACTAAAAACCAGTTCTAAAATGATCCAAGGCAAGGTTTTAAACAAGTATTTACCTAATTGCCAGACCTGTAGGGAAAAAGATTCCTTTGCATCTAAATTGTAAACTTAACTGCTTTGAATCAAAGTTAAGCACCAGCTCAAACTTTAGATGAGGCTTGGTGATCTCAGGTCAAGCACCTGGCAGGTCTTTGGGGGCACAGTCTGGTGAGGGGACAGCTGGCAGGGATGTCCCCATGGACAATTTCCCCACGGGAAATCTGAGGATCCTCAGTAGCCCATGGAATTCAGGAAAAGCACCACGCAGTTTCCATTTAGGCCAAATGAAAAAAAATTCCAAGCAACAGGATTTATGAATGCTTGGTTTGGTGCTGAACTGCAGTAGCAGGCTGGGCTCCTGCAGGAAAAGTATGTTTAAAATAACATCCCTCGAAAACAATATTTCATCCAAGTTCTTGGTGGAAACAATGAACCATCTGGGTATGCCCAGAAGCTGTTTCTTAAAATAAAATCATTGTCTAGCAGTCCTTTAAAAAAAAAATAATAAAAAAAAGACTATCAAAGTATCTCTTCATCTCAGTAACCTCAACAAAAAGAATTAAGCCAGATCCTGCACGTGGTGGACTGAAACCAGCAATTCCTGGTATTCCACGGTCTTGCTGTGACAGTATCAGAAGGCACAAACCTTCCCTTACCGATTCTCCCGACGATTTCCTCGCATTCTTGCTCAGAACTGGATGCAAACACCAGGCAGTTGAACGTGCTCCCGTCAGGGCTCTCCGGGGAAGAGCTAAAAATGGAAACACGTCCATCAGCTGGCAGAGCGCTCGGCCCCGAGCCCAGCCCTGCCCTGCAACCGCATCGGGGACCCCGCGGCTGCCCCACACCCCGCTTGTTTGGTTTCCAGGACCCACATCCCTCCGTACCCCCCTCCCAGGGCCCACAGGCAGCACTCACGCCACACAGAAGGCGAATATCCTGCTGCTCCACGTGCAGCGTCCCACGCAGGAGATGGTGGGGTAGGGATGGCGGCACAGGAGCTGCGCAGGGCACGGCAGGGGGACGGGGCTGGAGGCAGTCCCTGCCAGCCCCATTCCTGGTTTAAACTGGCCCCAGGACCCCACACTGCCCCACTGGCATCCTTGGGACTCACACAGAGCTTGGGTGTCGCCTGCTTACCTTGGAAGACGCTTTCTCCTGCACCAGGACTTCTGCCTCCTTCACATCAAATAAAACCTCCTGAAGGGGGGGGTGAGGGGGAAGAAGCCCCGACGGGCACAGCCCTGAGCTCTGTTTTTGGTAAGACACTTACCCACAGAGATTATTCAAACACAGAGGTGATGAAGCACAGTCAAGCTCAGCTGTTTCAAGATGTTTTCCCTTTGCTGCTTTTTTTTACCACCCAGTGCTCTCCTACTTCCATCTTTTCACAGATAACCCACCAAAGGTTCCAACAAAGTGACCTGAGCCCTAAAGCACCCCTGGAACCAGGCTTAGCCTCCCCACAGTTTTCCAAGTGCTTTCCCACAGGTGCTTGTATTTTTTTTCCTTAATGCCCTTTCCTATCCTCGCTGCAGAGATGCTTCTGACCTGCAAAAAACCCATAATGGTGGCAGGGTAGCAAATATTCAGCCAGGCCAAGCAAACCTGGAGCTGGCAGGGAAAAAAAAATATCCATGGCAGAGACCCTATTTCCCTGCATTCTCTCACAGAGCCCTTCCCAGGATGTCCCCAGCCCCATCACTCACCTGCACTGCCAAGTGCCCCTCCAGCACTGCAGGGATGGCCTGCTCCAGCACCTCTTTGCCACCATACTGGAACAGAAGGGGAAGGAGGGAATAACCCATGGGCTCATGAAAAAAAAACCCAGAAGAGATGATTCACCCCATGGCATCCTTCTGTGCCCCACAGCCTCACCGTCCCAATGCTGGTCTGGCCCAGGAACTGCAGGTTGTAGAGCAGCCTGGGGAGAAAAGGGCTCAGGTGAGGAACACCACTCATCCCTCCTGCTGTTCTTTGCAGGGGAAGATGCTCCCAGCTCCCCACCACCCCAAGGCCACGGGGGCAGCTTTGGCCCCACAGCCTTGAGTGGAGATCAGGGATAGTGTGGGCACAGGGATACCCCGCTGGCAGGACCCCCAGCCCAGCCTGGGGGCTCCCCATGGCACCAGACCCACCTGCCCCCCCGCAGCTGCCGTGGCTCCCCCTCGCCCCTGTGCCGGGGGCTGTGCTGGAGCTGGAAGTGGGGCTCCTTCTCCTTCAGGACCTTCAGGTAGGGCAGCAGTGGCTCATAGACCTGCCCGTCGTGCCACCGCCACCGGAGCAGGCGGAAGATGAGCGGCTGTCCCTTCAGCTTCTGCAGGATGTCCCCAGCCTGGAGGGAGAGAGGGGAAGCAAAGGGTAGGATGGGGGGCAGGGGAGGGGGAGCCACCCTGGCCCTCCCTGCCCACCCACCTGCCCGCTGTGGGCGTATCTCAGCGAGCAGCCGTTGATCTCATCCAGGATGTCGCCGGCCAGCACCACCTCGTCCACCTCCGCCTGGCTCTCAGGGAGCACCTTGGTGACAAAGACTCGGCCCTCCACATACCTGGGGGTGTGGCCGAGCCCCGGCTCAGCCCCAGGGACCCCGCCTGGCTCCCCCAGCCCTTTTGTACCATCCATGACATTTCACCCATGCAAAGAAGCAGGTAAAAGCCACCTCATGGACAGCAGGTACCGGTGAGACCCTCACAGGGTGTTTATTTCCCTTTTTTTGGGGAGGGGGTTGAGTGCTGTGGTGACCAGATCCCTCTGGAGAGTAGGATCAAAGGCTCCTACCTGAGCACCATCCCCAGCGCTCGGCATGGGACTGTCTCGTAAGTGCTGCACACCTGGAAGAGAGGGGCCAGTGACAGTGGCTTTGGCAATGGCCATGGGACATCCAAGGAGCATGACCAGGACAAGGGGGAGAACTGGGACCCCATGCCCTGGATCATTTCTGGCACTGATGCCAAACCAGGGTTTTGGGAGCCCGGGAAGAGGCTGGCCCACAGTGCCCCAGGCTGAGCTGGGACCATCAGCAGCTGCTTGTCCCTGCCCTCTTTCAGCACTCGGCTGTGCCCAGACCCTGAAGGGAGAAAGCTGCTCCACGGATGGGAGGGCAAAGCAGCAGGTGAACGCATAGCCAAGAGCCCTCCTCCCTCACCCCACATGTCCCCACACAGCCAGGGGAGTGTGGCTGCCCCTCCCCAAAGCTGCTGCTGTTTGCAGCAGCACTTACTGTCACATCGCATTAGCCAGGGACCCGAAACACGGCCAGCTTGGCCAGGGGCACTTGCTGTCAGAAACATCCAAAACCCAGCAGGATCCCCGGCTCTGCAGCAGCACCACAGCTCAAAGCACACCGTGAGCGCCCCCAAAGCCGCCTTGAGCTTTCTGGGGATTCTTTTGGGTTAAAAGGGCAGTGGAGGGATGCTCTTCATCTTTAAAAGACATAAAGGCATCCCTGCTGTTCTCAGTAACACACTGAGCAAACCAAGAGCGAAACCAACTGACGCGTAATCTGTGTCAGCCCAGGGAAATGGGGATTTTTTGGGCAAGAAATCAGGGAAGGGAGCATGGGAAAACTTCATTTAACGGCAGCAATTTAGGCCTGGGTACTACTCTTGCTTGGTTTAACTCCCAGGAATGCTGGGATGTGCTCCTGGTGACAGCCCAGGCACCTGGCAGGGTCCCACCTCGGTGGCAGAGGCAGCTCTGCTCATGCTGGTGAACCTGAGCCAATGCACCCCAGGTGCGTGGCAGTCCCTCCCCACCAAATCATTCCTTATCTCCCTCATTTGATGTCTCAGCAAGGGCCAGGTGGCGGGAGGACGGCTCCGGGGAGCGATGAGCCCTTACCGGCAGCAGCCAGCTCTCATCCAAGAAGCTGCAATTCTGTAAACAAAGGAGTGCCAGTGCCATCAGTCCCGGCCAGGAAGGGGCTGGGGCCCTGCACTGGGAGCCACCACCCCCCTGATTCATCACCACACCTGCAGATCCAGGGAGAAATCCATCTCTGTCAGCACCAGCAGCAGCGAGAGGAAAGGCTCTGCGGAGGGATGGGGACAGAGAAGCAGTGTCACTGCAGGGTTTCTGGCAGCTACAGCCTCACAGAGACATGGCAGAGGACAGAATAAAGCCGTTTTCCGTGTAACTAATGAGCCCTGGGATTGAGGCCTTGAGAGCATTCCAGCACCACAGCACCCAGGCTCATCCCAGGCTCCCACTGCCAGCACAGGTGTGGCTTGGCACCTGCTTTGCCCTAATTCAGACCAAGGCTTGCAGCAAACGCTGCTGACAAGTGACTCGCTCTCCATTTCTCACCCTAGAAGCAAAGCAAAGCTGCCCAGGCTCTCCTGCACAAGCCTTGCAATCACTCTGCTGGGTCTACAATCTGCTCATGCACCAGCAGCGCGGGTGATTTATAAACCATTGATGTACAGGTTTAACATGGGGTTATTTATCATAATCAAAAGATTAAAGGCTTCCACCCTGGCCTGGCCCCCTCAAGGAGCACGGCTGCAGATGGATGGAGTGCTGCAGCCTGTCAAGGCAATACAGCCATTTAAAACCCCTGTGCGACCCCTCAGCCCAGGCCCAGCCGTAATGGGCTCCCCTCGAGCCAGACCACTAGGTCTGCTTAAACATATGAAGGAATAACACTGGAAGACCCTTCAGGAGCCATTTCCCTATCCCATGACACTAAAAGCCAACTCGAGACAGATTCAAACACTGTTTAAATATTTACACCTCTTTTTCCATCGCTGCAGCAGCATATTTAGATTCCAGCACTAAATTTGGACTAGAAAAATCACAGTGGACTATTCCCCCTCCCCTGCAGCAGTGCACTGCCATAACACAGGTTACATCCCACCTCGGATGCACCACCATCTTACCCCGGAGACCTTCACTGCCGAGGATGGAGCTCTCTGGATCATAAAACTGAAACACAGTGAAACGCCACCGTTACTCTGCCATTTCACTGCCCATGTGGGCCCGTTTCACTGCACCACGTGCTGCACCTCCAGGAGTCCGGGGGTCTGTGCCAGCTCCCTCACGGCCACCGCCAGCACCTTCCCTTGCAGGGCCAAGCGCAGGAAGTACCGCCCGCGGCCCTGGGCCGTCCGTGTCCGCTCACAGCCCCCGGCCCTCTGGATGCTCATGGAGAGAGGGGTCGGCCTGTTCGGGGAGAGGGGAAGCACCTTTGGCGGCGCCTGGGAGCATCCTCCCTGCACCGGGGCTCTTTGGGATGAGTATGTCACAACAGACACCCCCGCAGCTCAGGTTTCCATCCCAGCCCTGCCCGGGGACGCTCACCTGCCGCTGGTACCCGCGGGAAGCTGTTCCAGCCAGTGCCAGTAATCCCGTCTCCGGAAGCCCCAAGCCGGTTCTGCGGGAGAAAGGGAACGCGAGGCCCCTCGCCGCGGGCCCCGGGGAGCTGCCACCCCCCTCCCGGGCACGAAGGGTCACTCACGTCGGAGCCCCTTGCGCAGGATGCTCTCCAGCCGCTGGCAGAGGGACACGAGGTGCGGCGAGGTGTCCGTGCAGGTCCCCGACCTCTACCGCAAGCTGCAGCACCGCACCTCAGTGACGGGAAAAGGCAGCACCGCGGGGTGCCCCAGCCGGGGAAGGGCGGGGGGCCCCACGGGACATCTCTGCAAAGGCAGTTCCGCGGGGGGGATATGGTGGTAGCGGCGGGTGCCCAACACCCCGCGCAGGCGCTGCTGACCCTCCCCGGCTCCGGCTGCCACTCGGGTAAACTTCCTCAAAGTCCCTGGTCCAGGGAGCCCCGGCCCGGGGAGCTCCAGCCCGGCCCCGCCGTCTGTCCGGTCAGACCGGTACCGGTGCGCGGCCAAGGGCCGGTCCCTGGGCAGCGCTGCTGGAAGAGTCAGGAAAAGCCCCGAGGGGCCCACGCTCACCTTTAAGGGCGCTCAGCAGCGGCTCCTTCCCGGCCATGGGCTCGTCCCCCCGGGCCGAGCGGTCCCGCGCAGCGGACTGGACGGGAACCGGTAACGGGCCCCGCCCCGGGAGTGGCCCGGGGAGGGGGGGAACCTCACACACAGGTGTGTGTACCTGAGCATATAGCAAAAGCACAGACGTTGACGTATACAGGGATAACACAGACATCTATCGATACATGTATATGTTACATACGTTGTATCGGCAGAAGCCGCATATGTAAGAGAGGCACCCGTGCAAACAGACACATATTTATCTGTACATATGTTAGGACAGGCTCTGCGATACGGATTTGGATATAAGCGTTAAAAAGCCCCGGCGCTGAGGCCCCGCGTAGGTACACACGGGGGTGTGTCGGGCCATCTCTCGCCTAACTGCCATAGGGTGGCCAGCTCTCGCCTTGCCCATAGGGCTGCCCACGCACGACCAGCCTTTCCCAGAATCCCGGGAAGGGTGCGGGGTGCTCAGGGGCGGTGCGGGACCCGGGGACGGTGCAAGGCTCGGGGGGGGGGAGCGGATCACGGGGCGGTGCGGATTCGGGTCGGTGCGGGATCCACGGAGTGCGTCGGATCCCGGGGGGCGGTGTGGATCCTGGAGGCGGTGCGGATTTCCGGGTCGGTGCGGATCCGGAGCGGTTGCGGATCCGGGGGCGTGTGATCCCGGAGCGGTGCGGAACCCGGGGGCGCGTGCGAACCCGGGGAGGTGCGCGGACGGTGTCGTGGGCGCGTGCCGGTGCGCCAGTGGCAGAGCCTTGGTCCCGCGTCCGTCCCCGCTGTGACGCCGGCTGCCTCGCCGGTGCGCACGAGGCGGGCTCTTTCGGGCCGGCGGTTCTGGCGGCGTGGGCACCGGCCGGGTCAACCTCATCGCGAGCCACACCGGACTATAACGGCGGCTTCGTGCTGCCCATGGTAAGAGCCTGGGATCCCCGGCCCCGGCATCCCGCCGTGTCACCCTTCCGGGTCCGCTCTGAAAGCCCACGGGGGTACCTCGCCCCAGGATGTCCCCTACCTCGGGGATGTGTCCCTCAGTCGAGGACCCTGCGGGATCCCCCCGCCGAGTCCGGAGCTCGCAGCAGGATCCGGAGCACCAGGGGCTCCGCAGAACAGCTCCTCACTCACTACAGGGGGAATGTGATTTCCCCCTTCCCAACCACCTCTTTTCTGCAAGCCGGGCAAACAATTTCCTGTTCACGGAGAGCGATGTTTTGGTGGTGGAGGTAGTTCGGAGCAGCAGGAGCTTCCTGCTCTTTCTGAGCTCCTTCGAGCTCCCTTTGGCTCAGTCCTAAATCAAACGATCAGCCTACATTATTGTGAGGCCGAAAGAGCGTGGGAGCAGGTCAGCTGAATTCCCTGGCAGGCAAGAAAACTTCCTGAAGCCTCTCCCATGCTTGTAGTGGTTACCACTCCCCCGGAGCCCGACAGCCAGCACCCTGGCACTGAGCTGGGGGGGGGTCCATTATAACATTCAGCAGGAAGACTGTTCCTGTGTGGCAATAAATAGCCAGAAAGTTTAATTCTGTGCCGAGCCAGACCATACACTGGGGGTTCTGTGGAAACAGAGTTAAGGGGAACATGTGTTGGGTGCTCCAGCTGTGAGTCGAAGCAGCCACCACTGTCCCCTGCCACCCATGGGGATACTCCAAGGGATGTCAAGGGGTCTGAGCCCACCTTCCCCACCCCCAGGCTCTGCAGCTGGGGACGGTGCTGGTGGGATCTCCCACGCAGGACGGGACCATCTCCATCCTCACCACCTCGGCGGAGGCGGACGAGCCCCACAGGGTGCAGTTCCCAGCTCCCCACCACGGCAGCTCCCTGAGCCCGGGGCGGCCTCGCTGGGCCAACTACGTCAAGGGCGTCATCCAGCACTACAGGGGTAAGACCAGGCTGAGGGGTGGGGCAGAGACACCTCGCAGGGGCTGGTGTTCAGCACCCAGTTTTGGGTGCGCTCCAGGGGCTCTTCCAGCACTGTTGCAAACCTACAGCTCTGCCAGGACCAGGCTCCAGCACAGATGCTCTCAGCTCCAAAGCCTCCTGTGTTTGGGAGCAGGTGCCTGGGTCACGCTCTGCCATGGGTCACCCAGTGTTTTAAAGTGGGATCTTGCACAGGGGCTCCTTGCTCTTGTTCCCTGTGAGCTTGGGGCACCCTCAGCCCTGCAGGGGCTCACAGCCCCCCTCCTCCCTTCTCTTCCCACAGGTGGTGCCATGCCGGGGTTCAGTGCCGTGGTCGCCAGTGACATCCCCCTGGGCGGGGGCCTCTCCAGCTCAGCTGCTCTGGAGGTGGCTACTTACACCTTCCTCCAGCAGCTCTGCCCTGGTAAGGCAGCAGCCAGTCCTGACCCCCGGTGTCTCTGTTTCCAGGTGGGAGCTGGGATGAGGGGTTGCCCTTAGCAAGATCCCACAGCCCTTGGGGAAACGCTGCTCTGGGGTGGGTCACAACTCCCCACTGCAGCCAGAGTAGGCACTGCTGTGACTGTGTTTCTTCTGGCTCATCCAGCCTGAGCTGCCCAGACCTCTAAAATCCATGGACCACCCCTTGGACAGGCCAGGGGGATGAGAGGATGTTCCCCTTGGAGCATCTCCCCACCCTGATGTCCCCAAAAATTGAGAGATCTGAGATACCAGTGTTAAATTATCATGTCCAGCTGGATCTGGGGACCCACACTAGCATGGATGGCATACAGTGGTGCAGGAGCAAGCACCTGCAGCTGCAAAACCCCATTCTATGGGAAAACAACCCTTACCTCCGTATTGCCCCCCACACTCCAAGACTAGGGGCCAGGGTCCTGGAGCTGCTAACCTGTGTGTCTCCACTCTGGCACAGATGATGGTGATTTGGTAGCCAAGGCACTGGCGTGCCAGAAGGCAGAGCACACGTTTGCTGAGATGCCCTGTGGGATCATGGACCAGTTCATATCCGTGATGGGCAAGGAAGGCCACGCTCTGCTCATCGACTGCAGGTCAGGGCTGAGTGCTGAGCTCACGGTGCTGTGCCAACCTCCTCGGGCAGCTGGGGATGAGCTGGTCCTGCGGCCATGACATAAATTCAGGAGTGCAGGGAAGGGTTAACCCCTGAACCCAGCCCAAAATCTCATCGTGGGGATGGGTCTGCCTGCCTTTTAATTCCTCCTTAGCTTGATTCCTCCTCCTGCAGCCTTTCCCCTACTTGCCTGTCCGTTTGCCACTTTTGTTAGGGACTGTTATGAAACTAATAATTGGGAAGGGAGAGAAATGCTCGAGCGAAATCCTAAACCACCTGGACTTTGCCTCTGTGGTTCAGGAGCTGCCTGCCACGTGGCCTCACACAGGTGTCCGAGGGCTGGAGCGGGCACATGGCCCACGCTGAGCTCTCGCTGCAGGTCCCTGGAGACTGTCCCTGTCCTGCTGAGCGATGCCAGGCTGGCCGTGCTCATCACCAACTCCAACGTGCGGCACACGCTGACGGGCAGCGAGTACCCCACGCGCCGGCGGCACTGCGAGGAGGCAGCGGTGGCACTCGGCAAGGCCAGCCTGAGGGATGCCACCATGGCCGAGCTGGAAGGTGGGGACAGTCCTTCCCTCGGCTCTGGCAGCCTCTCAGGGCATCAGGAGCTCGATGCCCTGTGGCACCAGCTAAGACCGTGGGGTAGCACCAGGGACAGGTGGCTGGGTGCATGCACCAGGATGGGAGTGTGCCACACCTAGAGGAGCTCTGGCACAGGATGGCTGCAGGATGTAGCCGTGCTTGCTTCCAGCAGCATCCCTGGGTGGCTTTGCTGCAGGGACACACGTGTCTCCACAGCGGCCAGGAGCCGGCTGGGCGAGGAGGTGTATCGGCGCGCCAGGCACGTCATCGGCGAGATAGCACGGACAGCCCAGGCAGCACAGGCACTGCAGGACAGGGACTACAGGATGTTCGGGAGGCTGATGGTGGAGAGTCACAACTCCCTCAGGTGAGGATGCACCAAGGATGCTCACAGCCTTCCTCACATATACATGCACTTAGAGGCAGAGCTGCACTGGTGTCTGCAGCATCCGGCATCGCTGCAGTTTGCTGTGGCAGTGGCTGCACCAGGACACAGGTTTCAGCTGTTCATGGTGCAGTGGTTATGGGCAGGGTGCAGGACAGGGCTGACCATGGGTCTCCCCTCTCCAGGGATGATTATGAAGTGAGCTGCCCCGAGCTGGACGAGCTGGTAGCAGCAGCTCTGGAAGTCGATGGGGTTTATGGCAGCAGGATGACCGGGGGAGGCTTTGGAGGCTGCACCGTGACACTGCTGGAAGCTGGGGCTGCAGAGAGAGCCCAGCAACACATCCAGGTATGCAGCAGAAAAGTGCCAGGAGATTGACTTAAAGATCCCAAGGGAACACTCAGGGGCACAGCTTAGAAAGACCTGGTGGTTGAGATGGTGCTCCTGAGGCACTTAGGGTTGGTGAAGCCCATTCAGGGCCATGAAAGACCCAAGTCTGTTGGTGCCACTAAGCTCTTGCAGGCAGTTCAGCACAATGCTGATCACAGAACCCTGCCCAAGGGTGTCACTGCATTGAGGAAGTGAGAGAAAAGGTGCTGGGTGAGCTTCAGGAAGGCCAAATTTATCTGGGGAAAAGTGATCTGAGCTAAGCTTGGGCAACGCTGAGCTTAACACAGGCAGCTACAGCCCAAGAACGATCTCAGTGCCATCACCAAGGTTCTCTAAATCAGCACCTCAGAGTGTACTGGTAGCTGAAAACACTGACTGCTCCTCTTGTCTCCTAGGAGAAATACAGCGGCACAGCCACCTTCTACCTCACCAAGCCCTCTGGAGGGGCAAAGGGACTGCCCCTGTAGAGGAGCAACCACCTCACCTGAGATCCCTGGTCTGGAATTGCCTCTCTCTCAGAGGCAGCTGCTTTCTCTGCTTCCCAAGGGGGTCAGTTTGTCCGTCTACATCGTTTGCTCAATAAAGGCATTTGCACAGTTCTGCACCCACTTGATCCAAAGTCATTGGGGACCATTCCTCAGAGGAGACTGGTTTAACTCCAGTATGAACTGGAGTGATGAGCCATTACCAGGGCTGTGGGGTCCAGTAGTGCCTCTGGAGCTGCAGTTGCAGGAGGGGATGGCAGTGGAGGAGCAGCAGGCACTGCACTTGGCAGAAGTTCCTGTTTGGGAATCTGCCTCTGGCACATGTCCTTAATCTGCTGCAGATGGAGGCTGTTGGGGGGGGATTTTTTTAATTTTAGATTTTTTTTAAAGAAAAAGGAAGAGGCAGACTGTAGAGAAAACATTTATTAAGTGCAATAGGAAGCCATCTGATCAAAGACCTGCTCTGGATCTGCCTGGGAAAGGCTGAAACAGCACCAGCCCTAATGACCAGATGGAATTTAAAACTACAGCCATGGGTTAGTGCACAAGCCATGGTGTATGTGGGGAGGGCATGATTCCCTGGAGAGCAGCTGATGGCCAGGCTCTGCTCTTGGATAAGGGGATAATCTTTGGTTAAAATGCTTGGAGGTGGGGCTCCCTTTTTAGGCACTTTCCAGTGTTTTACCATGGACCAAAAAGCACAGGGAAAAAGGGGCACAGAGTCCTTGTGCCAGTCCACATGTCAGCTGGAGAGGAAACCCCAGCCACAGAGGGGAGATGGGAACAGGGAGACAAGGCAGGTTAATGCCACTGGCTCTTGATCAGGAGAAATAAGTGCTTCTTGAAGGCACAGTAAAACCACAGGGTTGGTAAAGTATCTCTTGAGCCAAGTTCAAAACTGACCCAGCTCCGGCTGCAATCTTGCAGACTCCTGTGGACTTTACTCACCCATGTGCATCTTTGGCTTAAAGGTGTACAACCCTTCCTAGTGAAATGAAAAGCCTGGAGAGGAGAGGGAACGCTCAGTGCCGAGTTCTTCAGATTCCAAAAGAAAAAAAAGAAGCCGAAAAACCCCAAAAAAAACAAAAAAAAAAAAAAAAAAAAGGAAGAATAAAAAAAAGAAAAGCCAAGGTCCATTGTCAGATGAAACCAGGGCAGTGATGCTGCCAGGATGACCAGGCAGCTGCTGTTTTGGTTGGAAGCTCTAGCCTGGGGCAGTGGCAGCTGCTGCTCCGGGCAGGCTCCTGGCTCTCCGCAGGCTCCTCGCCTGCTCCCATGCAGCTGGAACACGCCAGGGAAACGTGCTGCTCAATTGTTCTCACTGGCAGAGGGCAGGGAGGTGCTGGGCATCGTGCCCAGAGCCAGGAAATGAAGGCCAGCAAGGTCTCAGCTCAGCCCAGCACTGTGCAAGGAGAGCTGAAGCTGAGACTGAAGGAGTCTCAGGATGATGGGAGCACCTCCTGTTCCCAGGTTTGCTCTTCCCTTGTGCTTACTGGTGGATCACAGGTCCCTTTGTGGATGTTGCTGCTGGACAAGAAGTCTTTTAAAAGATACCCAGCATCATCTGCCCTGAAATCTCACACTGTCCACATCAGCCATGTAAGAAAGCCCAGCACTGTTCCCACCTCCATGGGCCATCCCCATCCCTCACCTTTGGGCAGCCTCCAGCCCCTTCTGTGCCCACGTGCCATGGTTGGAAAGCACTTGGCTGGGGGATGCCCTGCAGTGAGCAGGTTTGGCCACTTGCACCCTTCTGCAGGAGTCTCTGGTGCTTGAGGATATAAAGTCCAAGGCAGAGCCCACCAGCTCATCAACAGGCTCATCCCAGGGTTCAAGTGCCTTTTGAATCGAGCCCTTAACAAATTTCTTCCAGTTATTCATGTTTCTCAGCAGCCACAGTCCCAGTGTAGCCTCTACATTCAGCATAGAGCTCATCCACCTCCATTTTTTGTATAAAATAATAAAATACATATATATATATTTATATATATATACTATGAAAACTGTACAATATTGTATGCCCCCCAAAAAAATAAAAGCATCAGAGGCCATCAATGAATAACACTACACAAACAAAAGGTTATTCTTTGCTATAGTGGTACCAAATGTCAGCAGTGAAGGACAGACACAACTAGGTGCAGTAAGAAAGCACAGGTTACCCCCAAACCCTACCTTGCAGCTCTCATTAAAAAACCCCCAAACAGAACAAACAACCCTCTCCAGTGGGCAGGTGAGTTGCCAGAGAGCCTGGAGCAAAGGTGGAAAGTGTGACCCTCTATAAATCAGGATTTTCCCAGTTGAGTTCCTCTCAAAACTGAGGACCTGAGAATAAAGCATTCTGCTCCATTTACCTGGGGAGGCTGGAGCCATGGAGACCCCCAAATTTCCACCCTGAAGGATGAGCTTGATGATCACACACCTGATGACCGAGCTGTGCCAGAGCTCTGATTGCACTGGGCTCCAAAGGAGAAGTCCAGAGCCTGGAGTGCCAGGGAGGGTCTGTACCCACAGCAGGAGCTGCCCAGGCACCGCAGCAGCGTCTGGAGGAAGCGCCCTTGGGTTGTTCCACAAAGTTCTGCCACGTGATCCCGAATGTCCCGCTGGTGCTCAGCCTGCCCCCGCTCAGGCCTCATAGAACTGCCTCTCCACCTGCTTGGTGAGGGTCCCGCTGGACATCACGGTCCTGCTCACAAACTCCTGGGTGAGGGTGCTGCTGGTGTTCTCCACTCGCTGGCTCGTCACGAGCATTCCGTCTGCAAGGACAGCGCGCTCAGTGCGGGGTCACAGGGACAGGGATCTGCTCTGTCTGCTGATCCCGGGCAGAAGTTTGCCCTTAAATACCACTTTCACTGATGGAAGACCCCTCCAGATCAAGTGATTCAGTACTCTGCTATGTCAGTCAGTCAGATGGATCTCCTAACACCTCCCAAACTCGGTGTTGCAGTGCGAACCCAGGAGTTTAAGTGGGACAACATGGGAAACTACACTGATGTGATTAAAGGTGTTTGCCACACTGCTCTGTTTTTTACTGCTCTAAAGAGATCAAACCTTGCAGGAAGAGCTATGATTTAGTCTCTAGTGATAGTGCTGAAGAACTCTGGAACTCAGCTTTCCCCCTGTGACTGGGCAGCACATGTGGAAACGACTGCAACTGTCTCTGGGGCAGAGCAGGAACATGATGTAAGAAAGTAAGAGGTGTAAGATCTTCAGCAATGCCACCTGATGGACCCTCCTTCCCTGCCTTTGGCACTTCAGGTAAAAGCACCCCCTCAGAACTTTGGACAAGCAGAATTATCCTTTGTTTTCTGGGGGGGTTTCAAAGCAACAGTGAGCCCCTACCTGTGAAGTGGGGATCCAAAGAGGAATGGCTGATGCTGGTTTTGGTGGTGTATTCAGTGGGGAATTTGTACACTTCTTCCCTCATGTACTGCTGTCCTCCAAACTGGGAGAAAGCACCTGGGAGAAGGAAAAGGTTTGAGCCAGCCAGGAAACAACAAAGAGCTTCCAACCCCTCAACCCTTCACAGTTCACACACACCAGGAGTCAGCTCAGGAGGAACTGGAAAGGGACTCCAGGAATTCTGTTGCCTTCTCTGAGAGGTTTCTTAACTTTGCACCTCCACAGAGACATGGTACTGTACCTCTGTTCTGAGATTCAATGGTGATGAGGCCTTCTCTCTCTGGCCCAAAGCCTTGGGTGGTGTTGGCTTGCACTTTGAACTTGTATGGGACATTCTCACTCAGGTGGGGCACAGTCAGGGTGGTTTCCAGATTGTCTCCTTCGACATAGATTGTCCTGGGCTCCCCTAATCCACACAGAGGAGAAGACAGACAAGAATGAAGGTCCCTCCAAACACACTCCCCCCAACTCTGAGTGCTGCCTCGGCTTTCCCTGAGCTTTATGCCACCCACAGACTATAGGATCACACCCAGTCCTACTAAGGGTTAAGGCAACCCTGTTTTACTACAGTGGGGAACCTCAGCAACCAACCTCCACTGGGTTTTGGCTGCAATAAGCAACAGGTCCTTCCACTTCCCACCACATTTGTTACACCAGACCATGCAATGACACATCAGGAGCCAGCAGCTCCCAGGCCTGGGATCAGCCTCATGTCCCCACTTTGTCTGCACTGACATAGGCAGACAACTTTGTCACTGGTCCTAGAAAAAATGCAGCAAGTTGCAGCTTTTGCTGGAGGTATCTTGAGCTCTACCCATGGAACTGGACTTACCTCCTCCATGCAGCATCTCACAGGTGATCCTGTAGCCCAAGATGGGCCCGTTGGGCTCACGGGGTCTCTCCCAGCTGAGGTGAAGGGAGTCTGGGCTGAGGGCTGTGAAAACCAGTGGTCCAGGAGCACAGGGGGTGCTCAGTGTGAAGGGTGTGCCTGCAAGGGCATGAGGGACAGGTCACATCACGGAGGGGGTGAGGGGGAACCTGGGAGGGATCTGCACACAGCATTTATGGAACGAGCTGGAAGGTCTCAGCTATCTCCCGGGCAACTAGCAACAGGACAAGAGAACATAGCCTCAAACTGCACAAAGGAAGGTTCAGGAGGAATTTCTTCACAGAAAGGGTTGTTAGACATTGGAATGGACTGCCCAGGGAGGTGGTGGAGTCACCATTCCTGGAAGTGTTTAAGAAATGGCTGGATGTGGCACTCAGTGCTCTGGTCTGGTTGACAAGGTGGTCACAGGTTGGACTTTGTGACCTTAGAAGTCTTTCCCAACCTTAATGATTTCTGCAATTGTGTGGTTCTATCTAGACAACTAGTGGGGAGCAAGTGTGTGGGAAAGGAGGTCCTGTCCCTAACTGAAAGAAAGGAAAGGAATGCTCAGGGTGGGTAAGGGGAGAGAAAACAGGCCAGCACTGTAGACAGCAGCAGAGACATCAGTGCCACCCTTCTGTCCACATCTGCCTCACCTGGTACAGGACTGAGCGGGCTCTGCGGGTCCACCTGGGACTCTATGGTGATGACTCCTTCCCTCTCGGGGCCCCAGCCTTCCTCACTCTGTGCCTTCACCTTGAAGATGTAGGAGTGGTTGGGCAGCAGGTCCTCTACCACCACTGAGTTCTGGCTGGGGTTGGGGATGGTGATTCTGTTCACCTCTCCTGGGATGCAAAGGGAGAGGGGGCTGTCAACACCATGTTGCAGGCACAAACACAGAGCCATGGATTTTGCCCAAACTCCATCTCAAACAAACTGCCTGGAAAAGCCATCCAGGGTCCCTCCCTGACCACCTCCATCACACCTTGCCACCAGCAATGGGTAGTGCAGGACGAGAGGTTTTTCCAAAAAAGGCTTAGGATAAACAACAGCTTCTTGAAAACTCAAGGATTTTCAGACAAAAAGAATCACATTTTCACTGATACTGCCCCAAGACTGATGTAAAAATATTTTCATTTCAGTCCTTTCTTAAAGTTCCACGTGTTGAAGAAATCATCAATAAGATGTTTGGGCTGGTGGAAATGAGTCAAAGGTTTATTTTGGAGGAGGGTTGGAGCAACTCCAGAAATTGTCCCCCCCCACAGGAGAAATGGGGAATGAGAGCTGTGGGGTAGCTGAAACATTTCCTGCACAAAAAAAGGCTGCACAAAAATCATATTTGGGACCAATCCCTGAATCCCAGACTGGTGGAGGTTGGAGGGCACCTCTGGAGAGGTCACTTGGTCCAACCCCACCCTGCTCAGAGCAGGGTCACCCAGAGCCAGTTGTTCAGGAGAAGACCCAGACCAGACTCTCCACCACCCAAAACTCCCCCCCCCAGCAGGGTCCTGCTCACTGACCTCCACTGAGCAGCTGGTACTGCACACTGTAGCCCTGCACCTCCTTCTCGCAGCGCGGCTCCTGCCAGCTCACCTTCAGGGAGGTGGGTCCCAGGGCAGAGAACACCAGGCGTGTGGGGGTGTCAGGGATGCCCAGAGGCTTCCTGGAGTCTGAGACAGAAAGGGAACGTCAGGGTGGAGGTTTGGGAACAGGGGCTAAGGAGGGCTGGGGGAGAGGGGGGAGTGGCACACGCAAGCATGGGGTGGTCCTGATGGTTCAGGGAGAACGTGGTGAGATGTCATCTCTGCAAGCTGATCCGTCCCCCCCATGAGGGGGGACTGGCTGGCTCTACACATCTACAGGGATGTCCCGTGGCCTTGGGGTGCAAACCTTGGGTGGGACAAGTCAAGGTAAGCTTCATGCCCCTGTGGTAGAGACCAGAATAGGGGCTTGGGTGCTGTGTGTGACCCTCCTCACCCACCCCAAAGCACCCTGTCCAGCCTGCCAGCAGCTTCCACAGACTTCTTCAGGTGTAGGTCTGCTAAGACTGGCCCTATTCTATAGATAAAGCAGCCCAACACCTCCAGGGTCTGTTCAAGGGGCAGTTGGGACCAGGACTGAGTGCTCTGGCTCCTCCTCAGCTCAGCCCACCGGGACACAAGGCTCATGGCAAGCCCAGCAGCCTCCCAGGTGACATCCAGGGACTGAAAACCCTCACTGGCCAAGAAGCTTGCAGAGGCACATCTCGTATAGAGCACACGTTCTCCCCAAGAGTTCTCCAAAGGCCTGTGGAGTAAGACTGAGAATAACAAACTTGTTAGGAATGAAGAGGATGGGGACAATGAGCTGATCAGAGCACGGTGGCAGCAGTGGTGGTGAGTGTTAATCAGTCCAGGTAGGTTGAAACACAGTGGAAGTACCCTGCAAATGGAAAGGTGGTGTGATGGAGGCACAAGCTGGGGCAGGGGGAAGATCACAGCACACAGCAAGCCATGGAGGGGAGGTTTGGGGTGAGCAGTGGATGGCAACAGCTCATGGATGGACAGTGGCTTGGCTGTTATGGGATGTGTGGCTGGGAGCAGACACTGGACAAGCTGTACCTATGTACTTGCAAATCCCTGTGGACCCATCAGTCATGTTTATAGAGTCCCGAAAGCCAATGCTGGGGTAGTAACCCTTCACCTTTGCCCTGCTCCTGAAACCCACATCCCAGGGCTGTGGGATTGTCCTCCCAGCATCTTCACGGATGGGAGGGAGGAGTGTCCCTGGGTAATCTACAGAAGCAGTGCAAGAAGAAAGAGAAAAACACCATTGGAAACACTTCAGAGTGGGTTCAGCCCAGGTGCTGGTTCCTGCACGGATGACTTTTTAAAGCTCAGGTTTGAGGAATCTTTTAACAACCTTCTCTCAGCACAGCTGACATAGAGGCGTAGAGCTGAAAGGCAACCACGCTGCTAGACAGAGTGAGAAGAAGAGACACGAGCTCTTCCTGGACTGCTTTGTGGTGTGAGGATAAGGATGGAGCTCCCTTTCCTGAGCACTCAGCATGTTAGGGATGGGAACCCTTTCCAAACTGGTCTAGGAGAAGAGGGACCTTAGCAAAGCACCAAGACATCAGTGGTGAGGACATGACCTTCCTGACCTCTGGTTCATAGGCCCCCTTAGCTGTGAACACAGTCTTCACCCCAAAAGGACTTTAGGGCACAGATCCAAAGACAGTCACAGGGGTGGAAGGGAAGGATGGGTCCCATGGCCACATTACTCACCATGCCCCATCTGCATCGTGGAGTACTCTCTTGTCAGCGAGGAGCTCCCCATCACCCTGTGCTCCTGATGCACGTGGGAGCTCAGCTGGTGGTAGCTGGTGTTGGTTGTCCTGGTCAGGGAGCCACTGGCACTGCCAGGGAAGGAGAAGTCCACGCGGCCGTTCAGCAAGTGCTCTGTGGAAGAAGGCACACCATGAGGGATGTGGCTGAGGGCAGGGCTGCTGCTCCAGTTTCCACGGGGAGGAAGCAAGAGGCATCACAGTGCCCCCTGCCTTGGCTGTGTTCCAGCTTCAGCCACTCCAGGAGCTTGTTCTGGGGCACTACATCTGGGACAAGCCACAGGCACCCGATGTGACGATGCAGAAACAAAGAGGTAAACAAAAACACCCAGCACCAGACACACCCCTGTGCCCAAGGTAACTCCAGACCTCGGCCTTGCTGGGGCACTGCCTTGTGGTTGTTGCCACGTTCTCTCACATCTCTCCTTAGATGCAAGCACAGGTTTGTAATTTCAGATTTAAAAAGGAGGCTGAAGAAGGAAAATGGCCTTTTATGGAGGTGGTTTCTCCAAATCTCATTCTGGATCTCATCTCAGCTGGATCTGAAAAGCAAACTCCACTCCATTGTTTTGGTCCTTGACAAACCCCCGTCCTGTCCCAGGGGGGCAGGAGAGATCAGCTACCCATGAGAGAGTGATTTCTGTTTAACAGTCCAGCAGATCTGCCCCAGAAGCTCAGGGCACTTAATTAGGGTGGAGAGCTGCCTTTGGAAGTGGCACTGCCATCATCTGAGTTTGCTCCTGCCTCGAGGGTCCAGCCTTTTGTAGAAGCAACTTGCTAGCAGGCTCCCAAGTCCATGCCGAGATGGGGGTTACCTTGACACTCTTGTGAGCAGACACACCAGGACAAGGTTTTGAAGCAGAGCACAACAGTGCATCACACCAACACGAGGATGGGCACAGAAGGGGAGGGCAGGGACACGGACTGGGGCAGGTCCCATCCACTGGCCCCTTGGCTCAGAGCAGGACGAGACAGGACACTCGGTGCCATAACGAAGCCGTCCTTCACCTGCTTGGGGCCGGGGTGTCCCGCTCCTCCTCACACTGCCAGTAACCACGTCACTGTCCTCCTCGTGGAGGAGACCCTCAGCGTCCGAGGAGAGGCGGCTGCTGCCAGAGAGGCGGGGAATGGTTTCAGGTGGGAGCCTCCAGGTGATGCGGCGAAGGTCCAGGTCTTCTCCCAACAACGGCACATATTTCCACCTGGAGCCTTTTGGGACAACGCAAGCACTGGTGTTGGCATGACCTTCAGGGGGCAGGGTGGGCTACCCACCACCTCCGTGCTGCTTGCTGGGGAGGGGAAGGGGCAGGAACCGGTGGGAACAATGTTCATTCACAGCCCATCCCGCCAAGTGTTGGCTGATGAGTTCAGGCGGTGCAACCATCGTGGGACTGGTGGATGGAGAATGGTGGGAGCATGACAGGCTTGGGGCTCCTCAACCCCCAGACTGCTTTCCAGCCCTGTGTCCATTGTGACAAAAGGTGAGAGTCAAAGTCCCACCACACGACTGTCCCTGTCACAAAGAGTCTGCAACAATTGTCCTCTGCTCAGGAGAGGTTTCATCACTCCTCGATGTGTGCTTGGGATGGTCCAACTCTTGATGTTTCCATCACCTGGCTCTCTGAAAAGACCAGGGACTTGCTCTTGGGTCCCAGGCCCTGAGAACCCTCCCAGAGAAAATCCTACTGACAAGCCTCATCTTCTCCCTTATGGCCCATCTTCCTCTCCTTGTCCCAGTACAAAACCAGGGAGTCAGACTCATTCAGAGAGCAAAGTGATGGAGGAAGCGAGGCCAGTGCCTTCCCAGCACTGCTGAGTTCCCTCCTGTTGGCTTGGCTAGGACCCTGAGTATCCAAGGAACTCAGAGGTCTGTGCCTTGCCAGTGCTTGTTTGCTGACACCAACTTGTGATCCAACCAAATGGCAACAGGAAGGGAAGACGAGCAGGGAGGGCCATGGAAAGCTCCTCTTCCACCCCACACAGAGATTTTTCTTTGCCTCATGGCTAAGACAAGGAGACACTGGTCTTATTTACACTGTGACCAGTCAGGTGTTCCCATGGATGCAGCTACTGAGCTTTGGAAAGGCTGATCTCCACCATCTCCATGACTTGGATCTCCCCATCTCCGAGAGGAGGAAAGGAGCAGCGCAGCAAAGCTGCTGTTGAGGAAAACGAATGTTAAAAATGACCTTTGCAAAACTCAGAGCAGCGTACCTGAATCATCAGAGACACTGGGGCGCTTGCTGCCGGCCGGAGAGCGGAGCACATCCGTGCTGTACATCAGGTAGCTGTCGTAGTCCTCACCTCCCTCTGCATCAACGATGGGGACGTCAGGGATGATGGGGACTGCAGCACAGGTGGAAAGTGCCGTTAGACAAGCAGCAAAGAGCCACTTCTCCCACGCTCAGGCTGGCCCTCAGCATTCCCAGGGGTGGCTGGTGCAGCAGAGCAAACATCAGGGGATGTTTGGGACGGGGAGGCAGCTGGTGGTGATGGGGAGCGCTCCCCAGCACTGCTCCTGCTCCCCTGCTCCCCACCCAGGCAGGGACTCACTGGACATGGGGCGCTTGGGCTGCGTGGCAAGGTTGATGGTGGCTTCTCTCTCAGGCCCCCAGCCAGCACCATTCCTGGCCCTCACTGTGTAGCGATAGGGCTGCGACTCCCGCAGGTTTTCGATCAGCACCATGCGCTTCTTCGGGTCCTCAACCAGCACCTTCTTCACCGGGCCGATGGGTACTGCAAACACGGGCACGCCTGTCACCCACAAGACACAGAGGATCCCACAGCACCCCACCCTGGGCTCGCTGAGGCTTGGTGTCAGGACACAGCCCAGCAGCTCTTTGGGCTGCTCACAACAGGCATGGCATCGTCCCGGGGAAATTCCCAAACTGAATGCTGAAGCCAACCTACACCACAGGTCTCTTGTTGCTGGTGTGTCACAAATAGCACCTTCCTGGCACCCTATTCCTAGGTCTAGATCTACGAACTAAGTTTTTGAGATGAAAAATGACATAAAACACTATGGAAGTGAATGGGAACAGAGAGTGTTCTGGGATTTGCAGGATTAAATCCTGACTGGTGATTTTTCTGCACTCCTTCCATCAAGAAGTGACCCCTCCAAATCCCAGTTCTCACAAGAAACATGCTGGGAGCTGTTCTGGTTCTGCTTCTGTTGTAGACCAGCCCAGCCTGCAGAAAATGTACTCCTGCCACTCAGCCTGGCTGGACTGACCCATCCAAAAATGAGCTCTTACTGTTGTCCTCGTTGACAAGTCCATAACTGACTTCATAAGCCGTGATCTCCCCGTTGGTTTCCGCAGGCTCAGCCCAGCTCAGCTGTGTCACAGTGGAAGACACAACATTGAAAGCCAAGCGACCAGGCTCGCTGGGCACTGGAAAGGCAAGAGCAGAGGGTCCAGGTTACTGCAAGTCAAGCGCCAGCAGATGCCCAGAGTTCCCCAGATCCCAGCTGGGTTGCAGTGGGAGATGCTCAGTGTTTGACCCCAGACCATCAGAAGCTCAGGGCTGGAGTCCTGACCCCATGTGGGGTGCCAAGGCACAAACTTGCTCCCTACACGGTGGGAAGAAGGATGTAGAGTGGCTCACCCTCCTCCAGTGTGCGGCAGTGGATGATGTCAGAGTAAGCCCCCTCACCCAGGGTGTTGTAGGCACAGACTTGCATCTCATAGTCACAGAAGGGGTAGAGGTTACTCAGCTCTGCTGATGGTGTTTTGACATCAATGAGATGGGCTTCTGACTCGGGGTCCCCTTGGATCCAGTATTTCACCTGGCAAAGCAAGAGCAAGCTGTGATTCCTTCAGATTCTCACATAATGAGTGAGAAGTTCTCAGTTTCTTACTAAATCTGCTCTGGGAAGGGTGTTGTGCCATTCCTCTGAAACGGGAGGCCACAACAATCTGGGCATTTCATGGGAAGTGATGGAAAGGAAGATGAAACCACCAGAAATCTTTCCTGCAAATCCCACATCCACCCAGCAATGGTCCCTTAAGGATGGAGGGGACCAGAAGGAGTGAACTTGCTCCCTCTTTTGGGTGTCTTCTTGGATCCCTTCAGTACAAATGATTTGTGTGAAACACCTGCAGGATGGGACCCACACTCTTCCCCAGGATCCACTCACCCCTTACCTTGTACCCCAGAGATTTTCCCGGTGGAGGAAACCAGTTGAAGCTGATTTCCCTGGAGCTGAGGGCGCGGGCATTGGGATTAAGTGGTGCACTCAGGCGGCCTTTGGGGGACTGGGGGACTTGGGCCAGGCCAGTCATCGAGGGGACACCATCCACCAGTTCTGCAGACACGAGGAAGAAAGACCACATCAGTGCCAGTCCCTGCCTTGGGAGAACAACAAGGAAGTGTGCATCTTCCCAGCACTGCCTTGCCATGCTCTGAAAAATATGTTATTTATTTTTTGATCCACTTGATAACATCCCTTACAGTTTTCCTTGTCCAGCCACAGGAACCACCAAGCACTGCTCGTGGCAAGTCCCACCTCTCCCATATTTTTATAGCTTTTCATTCGAATTCCCAAGGAAAAGGAATAACGAATCCGCCCTATCTCTTTCTGCGAGGTACATTATCCCTTCTTTCCTCCCACCCGCTGTCTATTCCCAGTCGTGCCTCTAGAGGGAGGCCCAATTCTACCGGTCGGAGCGGGAGGAACCTCCTCGCTGCCGCTTTTCGGGCGAGGAGCAGCGCTGGAGCTCCGTACACCAGCCTCGGGGTGGGCTGGGCTGGCGTGGGGGTCCCCCGCACCCCGGCTGCCATTCCCACCCCCCGGCTGCCGGCCCCTACCTGGGTCGGCGATGGTCACCGTGGTCTGGGGGTATCGGCCGATCTTGGCGCCGTACTTGGGGTGGAGGAGGTCGACGGCAAATTGCTTGAGCTGGCAGTTGTTTAGGAGGGTATCTATTTCAGTCAGCTCCAGCAAGGGCACCTGCACCTCCTTTCGGGTCTCCCCAGGCTGGAAGACCAGTTCACCCTCTGTGAAGAGATAGTCCTGGAGGAGAAGGAAGAGGTGCAGGATGAGGAGAAGGAAGAGGTGTGTTCAAGGCAAGGCTGGATGGGGCTCTGAGCAGCCTGGTCTAGTGGAAGGTGTCCCTGCCATGGCAGGGAGGTTGGAACAATGATCTTTGAAGTCCCTTCCAACCCAAACCATTCTATAATTCTATGATTACAACCCACAGCATCCATGAAGAAGCTTCCAGAGAGCTTCCCCTCATCTCCCAGTCAATCCCCATTTGCCCCACGTTGCCCACAGCTCCAGGGGCAGCTGGTACCTTCTGCCTCAGACACAGGCATCCTTTCACATCCCTGAGGCACAGGGAGCAAGGGATGGAGAGAAATGTCTACCCTGGGCTAACCTCAAGCCTTGGGTCCCCCCTCTCCCAGCCACATCCCCTTTGAGGCTGATCAATACCTCTCCTGCAACCCTCCACATTGGCTCTTTCCCAGCCCTCCATTCCCATTCCTTCCTGCCTGCCAGGCCCAGGAGCACTGCCCTTACCCTGCCATTCTTGGCGGTGAGGTCCCGGGTCCTGTAGGTGACTTGGGATTTCCCGTTGTCTATGATCTCCCGGAGGACGGGGATCTTGGCCAGCTTGTCAAAGCGGCTGTGGGAATAGGCTGGCTGCAAGAAGGTGATGAGGCTGCTGGCTGCAAGAGGAAGGAGGGAAGGAATGTGTAGAGCAAATAAATGAAGAATCACATTACAAACACTCAGGTGTCCTCCATGAACAGAGTTCCCATCACCCACGGGTGTGAACTGTGCTGAACTATACTGAAGTATTACTGCATGGGCTGGAGATTTCACCACTCCCAGTTTGCTCTCTATGCTCAAAACAGCCAGGCAGGAAGCACAGACAAAGTGCTGGGGACATTCACCCGCCCCAAGCACAGCAAAGAGGTTCTATTTCACTCCAGCAACCTATGAACTGGAGCAGCAGAGGCACATGGTCAACCCTGGATCTGTCATGGAACCTGTAGCACCTAGACCTGTGATGGTCAAATAATTGGGTCTCTGTCAGCAGGAATGACGACTCTCCTTTGGATGTTTTAAAAGATGCTCCATTTAGACCCAGGTGACTTCAGAGAGGAGTCACCAAGCAAGTCTCTGCTCTGTGACCTGGGAGTGCTCCAATACGCAGACTGTGCCTTCCTTACAAACCACATGGACACAGGACACCCAAACACAAACACCCTCCCCGTGCCACAGTCGCAGCCCTTCACCTTGTTCTTTGATGATGGTGATGTTGACAACCCTGCGCCCAATCTTTGCGATGCCGTTGGGGACCTCGATGGCCTCCACCTGCAGCTGCTTCTCATCATCATCCTCCTCCCTGATAAAGAGTGGGACACGGACATCCACCAGCTCCACGGCCTCCTGGAACTCCACCATCCCCTGAGCATCTGGGGGAAGGGCAAGGATTAGAGGTGGGAAATGCCCCCCCACGCCCGGCCAGCAGGCAGCACTGGGCTCTGCTCCCCACCTTGGTCTGAGGTCACAGTGTAATAACCCGGCGCAACCTTCAGGTCGTTGAAAGCCTCGTGGGAAACGTGTTTTTCCACAGCTTTGATGATGTCTGGCTTGGCTGAGCGAGGAGCAGTGAGCACTGTGTCCACAATGGTGTGATCCTGCCTGGGAGGGGGGAAGAGAAAGGCGAGAAAGGCAAGAAAAAGCTGAGACCAAAGTTGCTCATGTCACACCACAGCTCTGGGGCCACTGAGGGTGTGGGGCATTCAGTCACCCCACACGTGTGTGTGCAAAGAGGGAGAAGCTGCACAAGAGAGGGCTGCAAGTTGCTCTTACCTTTTCCCAGAATTGGGCTGTAACCTGGGGGAATAAAAAAACCAAATCAGAGTGACTAACACATCTGGAGAGACAAAGTGCTGGGTGAATCACTGCCCTGTGCAGGTCTGAGCTGCAAAACTGCCCTGCAGGTGCCAACCCATCCCACAGAGCCTGTGGCCCCAGCACGTTCTCTCCTGCCTGGCTGCTCTCTCCCACCCTGGGTTTCCCAATGCAATGAGAAACATGCCTGCAGGGGAGATCACATCTTTATCAGGCCATGGGGAGAGGATACCACTCCCTGCTCAGCAGTGGCATCCCCAGACTTCTCCCGGCCTGCACTCCTAGCTTTGCACCAGACTGAAACTTTCGAAGCCAAAGGGAATTTTCCCATTAAGCACCATGCAATCAGGATTTGTTCCTGCTGGTCCAAAGCCAGAGGTAGCTGAGATCTCCTGCACAGCTGGGTGGGTTCTGCTCTGCAGCCCTGGGTGGGTGAAGCAGCACTCCAGGCTTGTGCCAGTGATGTCTCACAGACCACGCTCCTTCCCAACATCCCAGATTTCACACCCCACCATCAGCAGGGCTCTGGGGGAACCCTGCCCTGAAGGAGGTCTCTCTCCCACTGACTCACCTGAACTTGGTCTGCTGGAGCTTGTGGCAGCCAGGGATGTGCTTGAAAACATCATTCAGCTGCAAGGAGCAACAGGGACTTTCACAACATATCCCTTGCTGAACAGGGATGTGCTCAGCGAGCAGACACTGCTGCCAGCAGACATGAGAGCCCTTTGGCCACCCCAGGACCTCCCCCCTCACCCTCCCACACCAGGTAGAGACCATCACATGGTTTCTCCCCAGGACGTGGCAAGAGGCAGCAAACTGAATCCAAACAGGAGCTTCAGACCACACAGCCCAAAGCAAACCTCAAACCTCGTCATTACGATGAGATTTGAAATTTGTGCTTTCTACTAGAAAGAGGAAAAATTTCTCCTTCCCTTCAAGAGCTGTCTGGGTTCACAGGGAAGGGGCACTCCCCCTTCCCAGCGTCACAGACATCCCCTCAGTGTGGCTGTCCCCCTGTGCCACCCCAAGCCCCCCTCGTGCCCAGGCTCGTACGTTCTCCTCCACTTCCTTGCGCAGCTGCTCGCACTCCCGGGTGTCCGGCTTCGTCAGGTTCTGCGTGAAGAGCCTTGCCAGCCTCAGAGACAGCCCATAGGGAACTGGGAAGACAAATTCCCAAATTAGAAATTCCCACTCCTTCCTTCTTGCTCAGAGAAATAACCCACCCAAAAGCTGGAAGCACAGGGACACACACGATGCTCGGTGTCCAGATGCGTCACCAGCATCCAAACCCTGTTGCCCCAGCAGAGAAAACCCTCTGAGAACTGGGGGGATAACTGGGAAGCTCTCTGCCAGATCCAGCAAAGGAAACAGTGCCCAGTGGTGGCTTTGGACTGATGAGGTAGTGAAATCAAGGCTGGGTCACTGAGCTCATGAGATCAAGACACGTGCAGTGTTCATCTACCACGCAACCAGACTGTCAGAAGGTCTCCAGGGGTCCTGCTACAGGGCTGGACACGGGGCTGTGCTGCTCAGCTTCCCCCAGGATGGAAGCAGGTAAAGAAACAACCCCCCTTGAAACTGGGCTTGGAGGTAACACTCTGGCTGCTGGAGGTGGGGGCAACCAACAAGGGTTCGGGTCCTTTAAGGCACCCGTGGCATCTCCTCTACGCCCTGTCCCTCAGACGTGGCACTCACTGAGGTCTTTGGGGTTGGTGGCAGCGGGGGAGGCAAAGCCCTGCTTGTGGACATTGTTGTGGATCTTCCAGCGGACTGTATCCCGACCCTTGAGGGATCCACTGCGCACCATGGGCGTGTCCAGGTGGTCGGAGGACATGAGGCTGTGCCGAAGCATGTAGTGATCCTCCTTGAAGCCAACGGTGCGACCTGCAGAGCCAGGGGCGGGGTCAGAGCATGGCCACACTGGGACAAGGCCAGCCATCAACATCCCAACACCAGAGACTTTGTTCTGGGGAATCTTCAGGGTTTCCACTGTGCCAAGAGTGTTGGGATGTCAGGAGGGGGGTGGGGTGGAGAGGGCAAGGGGTGTCCATGAGTGAGGAGGACACACCTCACCAGCTGGGCATTACAAGGGACACTGGTCAGGGACAGCCAGGAGTGGGATTCCCAGCAGGGCACCCCAGGGTGTGGGGAAGGGAGGGAAAGTAGAGCAGAAGCTCCAGGGCTTCTTGGCTCAGGCTCCCTGCTAGGAGCTTTCTCCCTGATCCACCTCCCCAGCTCAGAGAGGAGGAGGAGGGATGCTTATCCCACTCCCTCCCAACCCAGGAAGGCAGTGAACCCCACAGATCCCTCTCTCCCCCGGGTCACAGGACAGGTACCTCGTGCACAGCAGGGAAGCAGGGCCAGGCAAGCCTAGAAAACAAATGGCCAAATACACAATCACTTTGTGGCCAAGGGCAACCCTCCCCCTCCCCATTTCCAGTTGAGAGGATTCACATCAGCAGGGGTGGGTAGGCAGTGGGTGGATGGGGCTCTGGAAGTGGATTTTAGCCAAAAATCCCAGAGCAACTCTCGTGTCAGCAACACCAGAGGTGCTGGACACTACTGGGACCCAGCTCCTGCCAGTCTGGCCATGCTGGAGGCTGGATAGATGCCAGGAATTTGTCATGTTTTTGGCTTTTATCTGGTCCTCTCCCCAGGCTGGGGCAGCCAGTCGAGGCACTCACCTTGCAGCAGGCACAGAACTTCCAGCAGAGCAGCAGCAGCAGCCCCAGGAGCAGGATGAGGAAGATGAGCAGCGGGATGAGCCAAAAGAAGCTCCTTGGTGGGCACTCTGCAAGTGACAGCAACGTCACTCCTGGGCATCAGCCCCTCTGTGGGGTGTGCAGGGAGGGAGTGGGGAGGCAGGGACAAAGGGGAAAGGCTGGACCACAGCTCTCTGAGGAATGGAACAGTCCAGTCAAGCTTGGGAACCCCTCTCTTGGTGCTCACAAGTGCTGTTCGGGGAGATCTATCACAGCCCTGCTCACATCCAGCCATCCCAAGGGCCTGTGCAGCACCTCACATCAATCCCTGCCCACGCTGGCAGTGAAAAGGCTCTGAGCTCTGAAGGTGCCACACTCCACTCCTTGCAGTTCACACTGGTGACAGCCAGTGTCACCCACCCTGTCACGCAGGAAGGTGGGCAGAGCAGTGCTGCCTGTAGCTGCCCCTGCCCAGGGGCACAGCAAAGGGACCAAGCAGGGACTGGAGGTGCTGTGGAGCTGATCACTCTGCTCCAGACCCCAGGCTGGACATCCCCCCCTTCATCCTCCTGCTCACCTTTATTCTTCTGCACACGGACGGTGGTGTTGGGGAGGACACTGGGGTCTCCCTCCAGGGAGTAGTGGTAGGTGCAGTCATCATCCTCATCCTGGAAGGAGCAGTACTCACCAGCCTCCTCTGAGGAGAGAGGAGACAGGGTTGCAAAGTCACCAGGGTCAGGAAAGACTTGGGGAGCAGCCCTACATGTGCACACACACGCACGGGGCAGGGGGCACAGGAGACTCCACACATCTGCACCCAGATCTGCTTCTCACAGTACCTTTCTTCAGCTCTTCCACCATCTGGATCTGGAGGTGGCACGTGCTGCAGTTCCCTTTCAAGCTGCCTGTGCCCCAGGTCTGGCAGCGGACGCAGTCCCGGATGCTCTCACACACAGCCTGGAAGCCCTGGGCACATGGGGGTGGGACAGTCAGGAGACAACCCATGGCAAAGGGAGGGCACTGCCTGCAAAATGCAGAGCTGGAGAGGCAGCGCTGTGTCCTCACCCCAGTGCCAGGGCAAGGTCAAAGAGAGGAATCACTTAGAACAAGCAGCTGTAAAAAAAGTATTTATAAGCCCAGGAGCCCAGCCCTTATACCAACAGCCTGCATTTGGGCAGCAATTAGATCTTCTCCCATGGTTTTGGAGGCTTTTCCAAAATATGACAAAGCCAGCTTTCTCCACCCCCACTGTGGGATTAACCCATGTTTGTCAATGGGGAAACTGAGGCACGAGACTGTCATATGTGTTCAAGGCCAAGTTGGATGTGGGCCTGAGCAATCTGGTCTAGTGGAAGGTGTTCTTGCCCATGGGAACTTCAATGTCCCCTCCAGCCCAATCCTTCCTATGATTCTATGAAATGAGTTTTTTCCCCATGCTTGAGAGGCAAATCAGAACAAGCCAGGAACCAAGCTCAAGCCTCTGCCCTTCAGCAGGGTGCAGATAAACACACACAGACATTCAGCAGTTGCTGCTGGTGAACTGGAGGGTGAAGAAAGCCCTTGGCTACAAAGCAGGATTTTGCTCCTGACTGAGATGTGCCTTCATCTCTGCCTTGCCTTCCTTCCCTGAGGCTCCGTGTGGGAAGGAGAGCTGACAAACCCGCAGGGACTCACCAGGGAGTAGCTGATTTCACAGGTGGAGCTGGTGTACAGCGAGGCCATGTCACAGATGCATCTGCCACATTCGCACCTCCCATGGTTGTTGCAAATGCCCTGGGAGGGAAGAGGTGTCGGTTTGCATCCGAGAGCAATCCCAGGGCACTGGGAGTCAGCAAGGTGCCAGCCCCAGTGGCCCAGAGCTTCCAGCATCGGGGCAACTCAACACAGCTCTGCCTGGACCTGTGGTGGGCCTGGCAGGGCAGGACCTACCCCTCTGCTGTCGATGCAGGTGTCGTTGCTGGTGGGACATTCACAGCCCGGGCCCTCCCAGCCACTCTCACACGCACAGGCGCCCCTGGAGCAGCGACCACGATCTGGGGGCAAGAGGATGAGTCACCCAGTGCCCAGCACTGCGCTGCTCCCACGCCCCTGCCTACAGCTCCCCCACTCCCCTTGGGGTGCAAGCAGGCTCCACGGCATCCTCCCTCGTGTTTGCAAGCACAGAGTCCCCGCAGCCCATCACTGGTCACTCAACCCCCCATGCCAGTGCCACCAGTGTGGGGACACCCTGCTGTGGCACCAGGCCCAGCATGTGCCCCAGCTGGGGGACGCTGGGGCCTGGGGAGCTGCTCTCACCGTTGCAGAGGAAGCCGGAGGTGCGCGGGCACTGCAGGACGTCGTACTCGCAGAAGGCCCCGTCGAAGCGCTGCACCAGGTCCTCGGAGTAGCACTGGCACTTCCCACACAGGCACTCGCCCCTTCCCGAGCACGGCTCCACGTCCCCGGGGCGGATGCAGGCCTCGTTGTTGGGGGACGACGCCGGGGAGCAGTCGCACGTGTCCCCTCGCCTGGCAGGGAGGAGATGATGCTGAGAGAGGTGGGAGCAGAGCAGAGGACAGCAGGGTCCTGGGCAGAATGCCCTGGGCATGAGCTTGTGTCACTGTGGGTCCCCAGACCCAGCAGGACCCCTGGGAAGGGCACAGAGCTGGACATGGTCCTTACCAGCCCGGGTGGCAGATGCACTGCCCGCAAACAAAGTTCCCATGGAAGCTGCACTTGGGCGAGTTCAGCTCTTGTTGCTGGAAGAGAAGAGGCATTGCTGAATGGGCCCAGCTGTCCCCGGGACCATTTCAGGAATCAGAAGAGCAGATCTGGGGGCAAATTCTTTCCCTGAAGACCAAGCTCTGCCATGGGACAGCACACCCAGCTTGGTACAGGCAGTGATGGAGATCCTTGGCCAGGCTGAGCCTCTGCTGGGCACCACTGAGGTGGGTCACATGTTGGGTCGACCACGTGTTGGGTCGAGAGGGACCCAACATGTGCCAGCCAATGCACTCCCACCCCAGGGTGGCCAGGAGGAGGACTTCTCTCTGCAACACTCCCCCTGTACCTGTTCACAAGGACACACGTCACAGACGACCGAGGTTGAGACTGTGAGGCTGTCGCTCAGGGATGTGGGTTTCACTTGGATAACTCCCTGCCGGTCCCTCTCGGGGAGGCTGCACACGTGCTGCCCACCAACGTACTCCAGTGCCTTCACGTGCATCTTGAACTTGCCCTGAAGGAAGGGACACGTGGCAGGGATGAGCCAGCTCTGCTGGACCACAGCCCTGCCAGACGTGGAGGGCTCAGCCCCTCACACCTTCTACCTCCACGGCCATCCGAGGACTTACCACTTGCCCACGGGTGATGTGGAAGGAGCCAGATTCTGTCTTTTCATACATCGTGGAGGTGAACTCTGTCTTCATGGCCCTGGGAGTGAAGTCAGCCCTGATGTCCATCTTGGAGCGGATGCGCTGGGTGGCAGAAGACAAACACAGTGTTGATTTTCAACAGTACCCTGTGACCACCCCATGGCCTGCTCCAGAGGGGCCACATCCTGCCTCCTGCTGCTCTCCTGGGTAGGAGGTGCCAACCTCTGCCCTCCCTGGAGCCGGAGCAAAGCCCCAGAGAGCGCCGTTACCTCAAAGGCTGTACGGATCAGCTCCACAATGTTGGAAGAGTCCTCCTGGAGCACCCCAATCTCAGAGATGGGAAAATACTTGTGCAGCTTCTGCAGAGAGACAGGAGCCCCCTGAGCCAAGGCCTTGAGAACCCTTCTCTAGCACTGGAGTGGGCTCTACTTGGAACAGGACTTGGGCCATAGACCTCCAAAAGTTCCTTCCAATCTAAATTACTCTCCAGCTCTGTGCTCTTTACAAGAAACAGAAACCAACACAGGGAGATCTCTAGAAGCCCCAATTCCTGCACCCAATAATACACCCTGAGACATCCCACAACCCAGAGCAGCCCCATAACACAGTGTGGCACTCTCCAAAACATTGAGGTGTTGGTTTAGCACTTGAGAACTAAATGCTAAGAGATGGGAGAACACTTTCTCTTCACAGCCAAGCTGAGGCAGAGGAGCAATGGCCCTGGAGGAAAGGTAAGCCCATCACTGCCGTGGTCTCCTCACCTCATAGTAGCTGTAGGAGTGGTTGGTGACAGCAAAGATGGGGATGATGTTGTGTTGGCCCAACAGGCGCACCAGGGTGGGCACTGAAGGATAGTCCTGCTTGGTGTCATACACGTAGGTGCCACGGCTGTCTAGGTGACACTGCTCATCGTTTCTTGCCAGGATCCCTGCCAGGACGTTGGTACCATCAGCTTCGTAGTGAAAGGCAGATTCGGTGGAGAACACGAGCAGGTGAGTGCTGTCCTTTCTCCAGCCAATCTTATCCTACAGCCAGGGAGGGGGAGAAACAACCTTTATCTCTGTGCCCCCCAAGCTCCTGCACAGCACTTACAGTCAGCACTGGCAGGAGCTGGAATACTCACGGGGCAAGGCACCACCTCCACCTGGCAGCAAACACAACCAGCTACATGGTCCCAGGAATCCAGGCACCCCCAATGCATAGGGTGTCTCCCCCCCAGCAGCTCAGTGCCAGGCACATGTATGTACAGAGGGCAAGCCCACACTTTTCTGGACATGTTTGGAGCTGTGCTCATCCCTCAGCCAAGAAGCCAAGCCTAAGTGGGCTGTTTTCCAGGGAGCAGAGTTTCACCACCGCAGGCACAGAGCGAGATGGAGCAAAGAGCACACACAGAGTGCCCAGCAAGCAGCTCCTGTGCTGGGGATCAAACACCAGAACACACATGTTCTAAAATTGAGAATGCAAAACAGCTTGGCATTTGGAGCATGTGGTTGGTAGGGCAAGAGCTGACTGTAGATGAATATATAACCTGGGGTCCAGCACGTGGCCCTTCTGCTCATCACCCGGTATCAGCAAGCTCCACTCGTTAGAAACAGAGCCCACACGGCTCCTGCAAGCCTGGCCACCCTCACCTTGCAAACAGCTGTCTGCAGGATGGCATCAAAGCCGCCCTCAGGGGCGTCCAGGTTGCCGGAGATGCGCTCCTTGCGGAGCTCCTGGCTGAAGTGGTTGATGTTGCTGGTCAGGCGGATGACGTTCTTGAAGGAGAAGGGGGAGTCGGCGTTGTTCCAGGGCTCGCGCAGCCTAGGAGAGGAGGGGGACCGGGGTTTTTGCAAGGCCAGGAGCAAAGGGATGCCTGGGTGCAAGGAGAAGAAGGGTGGAGAAAGCACCTAGGGGCCAGGGAGTCCCTTAAGTGAAGTCATGGAGTTGAGCCGGCAAGCCACCAGCACTGAGAGGTAGAAGGGATGAGGGAAGAGATGGAGGAGGAGACAAGATGTGGAGGGAAGGTCTGAAAGTGGAAGAGGACACTGCACAGGCATTGGCATGGTGCTACAGCAATCCCTGAGGGACGGGGAAGCCAGGGTGGACACTGGCAATGAAGGGAGACAGGTGGACAAGGACCTTGCACTGCAGACAACGAAGATTAGGAAAGCCACAGAGAAACAGAAGGCACCTGCCCTCCCTTCTGCTCCCACCCCATGGACCCATTGGGCTCACTCACTTCTCAGGTCTCATGTCTGTCTGAGGGGAAGAGACTTTGTCCACAAACTTGCCGAATCCGATGGTGTAATTGGAGGTCAGTTCTTGCAGGAACTCCGCTGGGAGGAGGGGAAGGGAGGGAGGAGGAGACATAAATAAAGAGATGCCTACGAGCTCACTGCTCCGGGGAATGAAGTCCTGTCCTGCTGGTCAGGCCTTAGGTAAGACTCACAAACTGTCAGCTTTTAAGATCTTTGGGCTTAGGGCTTGTCTTTTATGGGGTAGAAACCTATACCCTGTTTGGCAGCCCCCTTTGCAAAACTGGAGCTTCTGCAGCAGCACCCCCAACACCAAGGGGTTCAAGATGCCAAAGCCCCTGCACAGACCAGCTCTGTGGGGCACCAGCCCCTGCTCTGGGCTGGGAGGAGGGAGCACACATGATGATCCCTGCAGGGCCAGGAGCAGCATTCCCCCACAGGGCTGCACAGAGCAGTGGTAATAAGAAACTGTAATTAAAACAGACACCTCTCAGCCCACTGCCAGCTGCATCCCTCTCTCTGGTGCTGGCAGAGGACTCACAGCCGCAGGCAGGAGAGAGCTGCCTGCCTTCATCAAGCTGGCTCCCCTCCTCTCCCAGCTCTGGTCTCACCTAGGTTTTGGCCCATGCTTTTGAGGTTGTCCAGATCATCAGACATAGAGTAGGAGAAGTCCATGAGGATGTAGAGATCCACAGGGCTCTCCAAGGGCTGGAAGACATCCATGTTGAAGCTCATCTCCTCCCCAGCTCGCAGCCGCAGGTACATGCCCTGGGGGGACACCTGGGTCCTCTTCAGGGATGTGTTGATACTGGAATTCTGTGAAGAAGAGCGATGTGAAGGGGATGGACTCCATCTCCTGAGCAGATGCAATGGGGAGGAGGCAAGGAACAGGGAGGTACGTGGGAAGTGCAAAGGCAGGGATGATCCTGCTCCCCTCCCTCCTGTACTGTACAACAGCCTCCCATGTCCACACGTGTCCAGCCGGGCACCTCCTCCATATCTTGGCATTTTGCTTACATCTGTTTTGCCTGAAAAGCCACCCCAGCCCGGAGAAATCAGGGCCGGTGCCCAACAGATCCGTCAGCCAGCGAAAAGCAGAGCACTGGTTTTGAGTAAACAGAGATCTAGACTTTTTTCCTGATGAAGGCCCTAGAGGGGGATGAAGGATGTGAAGGACCCTTCAGGAGCAGCCGAGCAGGGGCTGTGTCCCCAGCACCCACCTTCTGTGTCTGCATCTGGCCGCGGGTGCTCACGATGCTGCCCTCCCCGCAGCCGTAACGCTGCAGGTTCTCCCGCAAGTCACAGCGCGGCTCCTCAAAGCTCTGCCAAGGGAGCAAAACCAACGTCAGAGCCCCAGAAAGCACCAGATCCACCAGGTTAAGGGGGAAATACACAGGTCAGGAAGCAGGGTCCTCTGCTGAGACCACTGTGAGATTTTGGGAGCAGGAGCAGGGCAGAGAGTTGGGGACGTTCCCCAGCAGCAGCAGTATGTGACCGCCAGTGAGTTATTGGGTTGTCTGGGATAAAAGTCTTCCTCCATCCCTTGCACACACTGTTTATGGCACACTGACATTTTCCGATAAACCCCTGTATCCCTGGAAGTTTCCCCTGGGCTCCCCTCCCTCCTCATTTGTCCTTACCAAAGGAAACACACATTTCAATGCTTCCCACAGAAGAGAAGGGGGAGCTGGCTCTGCTCATGTCCCTCTCCCATTGAAGGTGGTGGGATCCCTCCATCAGCAGGGTGGGAAGTGGAGCCCCAGGCTGCCCTGCCATGTCTCACCTCATCGGTGCAGAAGGAGCAGTCCTTATCCACTCGGATGCACTCGGTGCAGCTCTTTGCCCGGGACAGCACACAGCGGTTATCTACCAGGAAAAACCAGGGCATCAGGAATGGGGAAAACAAAGTGAGCTGTGGGAGGGCATGAGAAAGGCAGATCCCACAGAGGGATGGAAGTTTTTCCTGGTTGGTTGGTGGAAACTGGCTACAAAACAGCAGTGGGGTAGGAAAAGAGGGGCCCCAAACGCTGGGAAGTTGGAAAATGTGAGGAAAAGCACACAACGGGTCTTCTCTGCATGAGGACTGGCATTCCTGGAGCCCAGGAAGGATGCACACAGTCCTTGTGGGGCAGCTCCAAGGGGAGATGGCAGACAGGGCTCCACTCACTTTTGTTCCATTGGCAGAGGCCGGTGGCACAGAGCAGGGACAGGAGGAGCAGTCTGGCACACGCCAGCGCCAGCACATCCATCCTCTTCCTCCTGAAACACATGGATTGCTACATTGCAGAGACCCAAAACATGGAAACAAACTGACTGTCCACAACACTCCCCAGAAACAAAACTGACCCCTCCCTTCAGCTATTTCCTATCACACTAAGAGTTTCCAGGATGGTCAAACCAACAATAAATAGAGGGTGAGGCCTTGGGAAATGCCAGACTTGGAGTTTTGGAGCTGCTGAAAGAATCCGTGGTCTTGAGAGCCTTGCAGCTCCCCCCTTTGTGCTGTCCAGGGCAGCAGGACCCCTCATGTGGATCCAGAGGTCAAATCCTGAACAGAGAGAACCATTCTCCCTGCACCCACATGTGACTTCAGTGCCATCCAGAAGTCAGTGTTTGGACATGGTAAACAAAAAAGGACAAAGTTGGAACTCAAGCTCTGCTGCTGTTGTGCCAGAGGGTGGCTTTGGCACCTGGCAGGGTAAGTAAGAGCAGCCAAGAAGAAAAAAACCAAAACAAAACAGTGTAAAGACATCTTTAAAGCATCTCCCTTCTGGAAGGTGCAAGTGTGAAATATAATGCAAATTAATTGTCTTATAGCTTCTTGCTGTGTCAGCCCTGATTCTGAAGTAAATGAAAAGGATGTAAAAACCACTTAAAACAGGGGAAGAAAATGCGTGCAGCAAAGATATCCAAGTGCCCTGAGGAAGAACCAGCACACAGAGCAGTCACTTGGTGACTCAGTTACTAACAGCCTGGGGTGCAGGGGAACCCCTGGAAAGACCCACTCTAGTCTCAACAGCACCAGGTCACACTTGGCTTCTGCATCCTGCATTGGCCACTGAAGCCAATGGAAATGAATTGAATGCAGAAATTGTTGTGACACAGGGCTCCCACCAACACAGCATCGACACCTGGGGACACCTCCCTTGGTGTTCTCACTTGGTTCTCCGTGACAGTCACTGGATACATGGATAACAAAGGACAGGACATTGGTACCTCATTCACCCTCTCAGCTGTGCCCAGAGGGATTTATCACAGCAATTAATGCCCCATGGCTGAAACATGAGAAGTGCAGAAGCCTCAGGGCAGCATCTCTGGGGGGAAACCCAGGGAAGCTTTGCCATTAGTCAGGACCTGTGGTCAATGTGCTGTTTTTCCAATGTGCTCTGTAGCCAATGTGCTTTTTCTCTTATAGGTAAAAGGTACCAGCTGACCAAGGCAGTCCCTCTGCTTCCCTCCCTGCCACACTGACCATCCCAGCTCAGGCCCTTTGCAGGGTTGGCTTTGGGTGGTCCCTGTCCCCCCTAGCTAAGCCCCAGCACTGGCTCTGAAGCCAACATTTATGTTCATCCCTGGACATGCCTGTGACCCCCTTCAGGGACAGTCCTTACGCCAGCACTTGCTGGCAAACATCCTGTCCCCTGCTACCAAGACAGATGGGTTTTAAAGCCAGGAAAATCCCTTTTTCCCTTGCTCCACCCCAGCGAGCCATGCCAGCCCCGGAGACACGGGGAGGTGCCAATTAGAGGGGAGATGAAAGGGTAGGGAAGTCCTTTGAGCCCTTGAAGGGAAAACACAGTGAAAACATCCCCTGAGCACCCACCAAATCCCGGCTGCCAGCATGACAAGGGCCACGAGGAAAGGAATTGAGTGTGGGACCGGATTGCTCAGCTCACAAGGACCTCATCCATCTTCCTCTAATCACTAGTTAGGAAAACGTCACCAAGGAATGGACGGACACACCCTGGGCCTTGGACACACAAACTGCCGTCACCACTTTTCAAGTGCCGAGATAAAAGGCCATAAAACTCTGCTCAGTGTTAACAGTCCTGTTGCCCTGTGAGCCACCAGCCTCCAAGGATTTCGCTGGGCAGGTGCCAGCGGGCAGGGCACTGGTGGCACAGAGCATCTGCTGCCACTCGGCCCTGCAGGAATGCAGCCTGCAATGTTTGTGCAAAAACATGGGAGCAGCCATTCCTCGACATCAGAAGTGCCCTCTGGAAGGGAAAACACTGCTTTCACTTTGGGAAAGCTGCAGGATTTGGTTGGATTTGAATGATGACAGCAATGGGGAAAAAAAAAAATCTGTTCATTCGTGCAAAATCAAGGAACGAGGTGGGGCAGCTCCTGGATGCACACAAACATCTTCCTCCATCCCAGACCACTGCTCCAGCATTTCTCCTGGTCTCCTCCCTCACCCCCAGCCTTTGCCTGCATCTCAGCACAGCCAACAGAAACATGCCAGGAGCTTGGAAATGCTGGGGCTGGGTACCTCATCCCAAAAAACCAGGCAATGCTAAACCACTGGTGAAAAGGGACAGAGGACAGGGTTGGAGTGTCAGATGGGGGAGAGGGACCAAGGAGCAGGTTATGATGAGTCAGGAGCCCATGGCAGGAGTCTGGTCCCAGCTTCCATGCAGGGGACACCAGACGGGTCGGGGACACAGAAGCAGGAAAGAGAGGGAGATGCCAGAGTTCCTGGTTCAGTCTTTCCTCCCTCTGGTGGGAATTGCCCTTTCCATGGCTACAACGCCCCTGTCCTGCTGAGGGGTGTGGGGGGGCTGTGCAGAGGCCTGACCCTGTAGATGGGAGGAGGCATCTGGAGGAATGGCAGCACAGTGACAGCCACAGCAGCTCATGCAGGCTCAGTTCTTATCCCAGGGCAGGGCTGTGGGCTCAGGGCTACAACTCATGCTCTCTCCCTCCCTGGCACACGTGGTGGCACAGAGCTGCCAGGGCCGTGCTCCAGAACTTGGAAATTATCAAGCCAGACCCTCAGAAAACTGTCAAAAACTTGACCTGCAAATCAAATAATCTCTTAAACACAAGATCATATTGATCTTTGGGTTTGTTTGCCTTCCCCATCCATTTCCCCTCCTTCCCCATGAGAGCTCTTGCAGCTGGAAGGCTCCATGTGGGTGTCTCCATTTGCTGTTTCCAGCAAGAAGGGAGATCTCAGCTCTCAGATTGAGCTCCAGACCCCAGACCTGGTCCCTGGCATCCTCCAGCGAGGGACAAAACACAGCAGGATGCAGCCTGGGACCCACCTGGAGCTGCTGGGAGCTGGTTTGTGGCCAACACCACCCTGTGCTGGCAAAGGGCTGGTGGCTGCAGTACCCTCTCCTCCTTCTGCCCCCCGGGTTTGGGCAGGGGAAAACCCCGAGGGTCAGGCAGGAAGGTCAGGACCTTCCTGGGGGGCTGCCCAAATGGCAGCACAGCCCCGGGACCCTCCCATTCCCTCCACGTGCTGCTCCTGGCACATTCTCTGCTCCTTTGGCTCCACAGGACACTTTCCCTCCCCTCTACGGGTGCTCCTCATCCCTCTTTCCCCCCACCTAACCCGTGCCTGTCAGCTCCCTCACACCAGTCCCTCTGCCCATTTCCCTATTTCCTGGCCATTTCAGATCCACCAGCTCGCAAACACCCGGACACCTGCGGTTCAGCAAAGCCGACCCTGAATCCCCACTCTCTCTTGGCTTTTCCCTCCAGGAACTTTCCTCTCCTTTCTCCCGCCTCGCAGGGGGTTTCAGGCAGCCACTCATCCTGGAAAACAACCTCCGGGGCTCCGCGGGTCGGAGGCATCCGCAGCCCGGCTGACCTTGCACACTGTCACCCCTGAGAGGCTCCCCTGGGTGCCAGCTCAAGGCACAACCGCCTTTCCCCCTGGCAGTGGGCTGACAGAGGCAGGACGAAGTGGGCAACCTTTGGAACCCGCAACAACCTGTCCCCGAAGGGCTCTGCTCTGCCTTCCCACCTGGTACCCCCACTGCCGCCCCCAGCCCCGCTCCCAAATACCTTCAGAGACTAAAACTGCCCCGTGCAGCCCTCAAAGCCCTGCTGGGACACGAGCGTTGCCCTTCGCAGCCAGACAAGAGGCACGAGACGGCGTCCGACAGCCAAAACCAGAGGAAAACACAGGGAAGGAGCAGGCAGGGGCTGACTGACCCCCGCGCTCCCTGTCCTGCCTACCTGCCCGTGCAAGGAGCCCCGCGCCTTATTCCACCCCCCGGTTAATCAGCGCAGCAAAGTTCAAGCGAACTGGACAGCACAGAGCACAGATGAATTAATTCCACAAACCTCATTAGCGCTGGGTCTGACTCAGTGTCCAAATCCTCTGCCGCAGCCCGAATAACAGGCACCCACACACCAAGCCAAGAAATTCTTCCAAAGGCAGAGGGGGAACGTGCTGGTTCACTGCTGCAACTTGATTTCCAGCTTTGGCCTTTTCTTTTCTTTTTTTTCTTTTCTTTTTTTCTTTTTTTTTTCCTCCCTCCTCTCTATTTTCTGTCCCTTTTCTCTTTCCGGTTAAACGTCAACTCCCGGTCCGGCGGGGAGGGCAGCGAGCCCGCGATCCCACATAACTCCCCGCCGATTTCTGTACCCTCCAGTCAAATATCGACTTTGTTCTCGCTCCCCTCGCTGTCCCGGGGCTGCCGCCTCTTCCTCCCGAGGGGCTGGCAGGGAGGAAAGGTGGGAGCTGCGATAAATGAGATTGGATCCCAGGTGAGGACGAGCTTTATCCCAGCTGGGAGGGAGGAGGGGGTGCCCGTGACGCAGGGTTGGCATTCATTCCTCCCTCGCACACCTGGACGGGCCGGCACAGCCCTCGCAGCCGCCCTGGACCCTCCCTCCGCACAAGCACCATCCCACAGGAAAAGGACTGAGCGGGCAGTGGGAAGGTGCTGCCGTGGGAAGGGTGTGTGGAAGGGGCTGCTTGGCTTCACCTGCCTGCTCAGGGCAGAGCTTAGGGAGCTCCCCAGCCCCTCCTTGCCAGGGGTTTCTCCTCCAAATTTCCCACTGGCACGAGTGGCAGTGTCACACCCAGTGCCCAGGTAACTCCTTGCTGAAACACCAGGTAAATTCCTGCTGACAACCACACAACTGCCGACCCAGCCTTGGTGCCTTGCTTGCAAAGAGGACAGAACTGCATCCTGCTTTATCCAGGGCACGAGCACGGCAGCCCACTCCCCACCTGCAATAAATCTGGCTCGAGGGTCAATGCAGCCCCTTGTAGCACCATACAGAGACCCATCCACACCTGCTCCTAATGCATCCACCACCACCCACAGCTGCAACAAGCAGCGATCCCACCACTGCATCCAGTCCTTCTGCTGGGCTGAATCCAAACCCCCTTCCCCAAGGAACAGCAGAGGAGGGTTTGGAGTTCAGGAGAGGTTATTTTTCTGCCCCACAGCACCCTTTTGCTTTACAGTTGGGGGTTTGTCACAGGTCAGACCTGCTCACCCTCCCGCAGAGCAGATGCGAGGGCAGAGGCTGCATTTCAGCTCCTTGATAAATCCTCACAAGGAAAACTGCATCCCCTCAGCCTCAACACAAACAATAGCAACAGTCAGATGAAAAAATGGCATATTTCCTGCCCGCCTTGGAGATTAAAAATACAGGCAGGGCACTTTTGTGCTCTTCATTGTCAATGTAGCATCACAGAGGCTGCTGATACACAGCACTGATCGAAACACATGTGAGGAGCAAGATTTCTTTCACTACAAGAAACAGGGAGCTCAAGTAAATATGTGTAAACTGTCTTAGCCCCAGGAAAAAGGAGGATGTGCTTGTGCCATTAAAAGCTGCAGCACATGGGAAACAGGCAGGGGTGCAGCGGAAGATGGCCCGGGCAGTTCAGGTCTGGTATTTCCTAGTTTCCCAACATTGGACTTGGCAACCCCAGCATTAGCCCAGCCCCTTTGGAGATGCTATTTCCTAGATTTGAACAAAAGTTCTGAAAATGAAGGAGGTTTGTTACTGGGTTTTTAAAACCACAGCAGACATTGGCTACAACCTGAGAGCAGGGACACGAGGTGCTGACGCTCGAGGTGCAGCGGTGGCTGCTGGTGAAGGGCAGGTTGTTACCGTGGAGGGGCTGAAGGCACAGGGTTCTGCTCTGCCTCAGGGGGTCATCACAGCTGCAGCAGATGTTGTTGAGCACTGAAGACAAAGAAAAACTGGGCTTCAGTTCCCAAGACAGGAGGGGAGCTTGTGCTGGTGCTTGCAGAGATGTCTGCCCGCCTCCCCTGGTCCTGCCTCTGGTCCTGTCCAGCAGCAACGCCCACCTCCCACTGCTGCAATTTTCCTCTTATCCCACTGAGGTAAGCGATGCTGCCAGCACTGGAGTTGAAAAAGACAGTTCAGGCTACAAGCAAGAAGCATTTTACTAAAAAACCCCAGTTATTTTAGTGATGGTTCCCTAACAAGAATCCTGAAACCAACCAGAAAATCTTGTGGAAGCTGGCTGCTCCCAGTGTTTGGTGTCCTTGGTTTCTGGATGTCCTCCTTTCTCAACCTGAGATGGAGGATGTTTATCTTGGCTCCTGTAAAGGACCTCTGGTCTCACCTGCAAACACTGACAGCCCCAAGGCTTCCTGACACCATCTCCCTCCCCTTCATCCTGGAGCAGCAAGGCAGGACCAGCCCCTTTTGAACATCTCCAGCTGTGAGGAGGAGCCCAGTTAAACACCCTGGCTGCTGCCAGAAGAGCCTGAGATACTAATTTTGCACCTTTCTTTGAGACTCGTTCCCCCAGCCCCTAAGAGATCTCTGAGCCCACATAACATGACTTTTCCCAGAGAGCTATAACTGGGCTGCATTTAAATAGATATTTGCAGGGTTTTCCAATATCAAAGTAATTCCACCACCAAAAAATAATAAAAGAAGGCTGTTTTATGGGTTGCCTTTCAGGCAACTTCTCCAAGGTACTTCCACCTGGAAAGAACACCTGGTGAGCTCCAGTTCTTGCCTTGGTTCCATACCTTGCACTCCCTGCCTACTGGATCAGGCTTTTGCCACACAAACTTGCTGTTTTTAAGAACAGGGGCTGCAGAGGCAGGAGGAGCAGATTTTGCTGCAGATGGCTCTAGCACAGCTCACAGCCGTGTACGTGGTGAACCTCACATTTATAAATCGGTGATTTTCTGCTGTGGCAATGTGGCCTATAAATTTTTGCCCAAGGAGGGAAAACAAGTAATTTTATAGCTCACACTAAATTATTGCTCCCTCTGCTGAGACTAGCAGTCCGAGTGCCAATTACTGATAATTACCAGTGATATCAGGGTTAATTATTTTCTTCTTGTTTTTTTTAATGCCTTGCCAATTCTTATAGAACCTTTCTTCTTTCTGTCCTGCCACCACAGTGTGCCTGGGGACAGCTTTGGGGCTTTTTCTAGGTCTTTGTTGATTAGTTACAGCCAAAATCCTGCTGCTGGAGCACATTCATCCCCTTTTTTAATTCTGTAACAACACGCACAAGAAAAATAAAACAAGAACAAGAAAAATAAATACTTGATCCCATTGCTGCACACCATAGTTGCAATATCCTGCTATATGGCATAAATCAAAGGAATGTGCAATAATGTATTATTAATGTGCACGTAATTTATTGCACTAAATGCTTCTTAATATAATTCCCCATGTAATTAAAAGTGCAAGATGAAATCCTGTCACATTCTCTTCCTCAGTCTTTCCCCTGAGATAGTGTTAACTAAACACACCCACTGTTTTCCAATGGATATTCCTCGTCATGGACACGTACCCAAAGGAAAATCTCCTTGCTGAACATCCCTGATGCAGGGAAAGACCTGCAGCAAGAGGTAAGTGGGACATTGAAACAACACTAGAGGAAAATGTTAGCAAAGGATCCAGGATAAAACTTCAGCCTGTGACAATCCTAACATCCATCTATCCAGGGAAAGCAGGACCTTCCAGGGATATCTCAGCTGCCAAAGGCTGAACCTTCTGTCATGCTCTCCAAGCACTTCAAGAGGCTACTCAAAGAGGAGAGAGGTTAAAAACACCAGTAGCTTCACCTTCTGTGGCTGCAGCAAAAGTCAGCCTTGTTCTCTTCTAATGCTGGTTCCTACAGACGTGGCAGGGGACAGACAGACAGACAGACAGAGACAGACAGACGCCTTCTACGTGAAAAGGCAAAACCTTTCCTTGTGAAATCCCAGTGCTTTGCTGTTTACTGGCAACAGAAAGCACGAGCCTGGCCCCAGCCAAAGACAAGTTCCAAATAAACAAGGACTAAATACTGGAAGTCATTGGTGTCCATGGTTCTCACTCAGAACAAAAGGAAGGAAGTGGAATATAAACAGTCAGAGGAACAGCAGCGCACTGCGAGGCTCGGAGATGGAAAACTGCTCTGCAGAAATGTGGTGTAAACGTTCCCCAAAAGGAAGAGGAGACTTTGGTGGAATCCCACTGCCCTTCCAGGGGGTCTTGAACTTCAACAGTAATTTAGTTATTTAAACATTTAACATTAGGCAGTCCTGGAGAAGCCTGCTGAGAGGCATCTCACTCCCTGTCTGGAGATATTCAAGTATTATCAGGACACAATCCTGTGCACTGTGCTATAGAAAGACTCCACCAGTGAACCCTTCCAACCATAACCAGTCTGTAACAACTCTGGGCTTCCCCAGGCTCACACCTCTCAACAGGAGTGAGCAGCCCCTACCCCCTGATAACTTTCTGGGCACATTGCAAAGCCCATCTGGTTGAGGGGCTCCACAGGAGCTACAGCTTCTCCCCTGCAGTGCTGCAGAGCTGGAGAGGAGCTCATGCAGGTGTTGGCTGAAACAATCACCTCCGTGCTGCTGGAGCCGACCGTGTCATCAGCAAATCCCTGGCACAGCCCAAAGCCTTGGGAAGGAAGACTTCTTTTTTTGTTTTTTGTTAGTCTCAGTACATAACTCCCATAAACCAGACAGTACAGCAGCAATCCAACTAAAACATAGCTTCAGGTGCTCCAATTTCACGGTTTGAGGTGGGGCTGGCAAGGGCTGCCCTCCCCACCTGCTCTCTGGGTTCGGCAGCACCCAGCCAGACACAAAATAAAAGCGATTCCTGAGCGCCCAAAATCCCTTCCCACAACAGCATCAAAGGAGGGCAGACCTCTAAATCACAACAAGCAAATAGGAAAGAAAATCAACACCTCGGGGCATGGAGGTGGGAGAGAAGACTTCAGAAGGGCGAGTGAGAGCAGAACCAGCTCTGCCAAGGATGACTTCATTACGGCAGCTCTCCTTTCTCCTCCGAGGCAGAGACACTTGAGTGTGGAGTCTCAGCTAAGACAAACTACTCAAGCTGGGAGACAGCTGTGCTTAGGAAGGTGATAAGCAGAGAGAAGCCCTGTGGTTTTCAAGGACCGTAAGCTTGTAGTTCTCAGACTAAGGAATGATGAAAATGGGACTGGTTTTACTCTCGAGTATGGTTAATCTTCCCTTGAGAGGGGAGGTAAGAATGAGTATCCACAGCTTTTAGGAGTCAGAAGAGCAGCCTGAAGAGCAATCACTACTGCAGCAGCACTGAGAACCTTTAAACTGTTCTTCAGGGCTGTTTAACACACAGGCACTGACACCCTCAGTGGGTCCCCCCAGCACTCAGCAGCTCCACAGAGCCCTGCAACAAGCACAACCACAGAGTTCTAAAGCAAACTGGTCAAACCTCCCTCCTGAGGGCTTCAGGCCCTGGTTCACAGGCCAAGAAGGGATCGTTTTCCCTCAGGACATCACTCCTGTGCATCTGAAGCTCCCTCCACCTTCTCTGGGGCACTGACTGACCACAGCCCAGCACAAGCCACCAACCTGTAAGATCATGTTTCTCAGGAAAAGAGGCTTTTTCCTTAGAACTTCAGTTTCCAACCTTCATATCCACCTACTACTTCTGATAGCAACACTCAAGGCAAACAAGAGCAGCGAGCTACTGGCTGCAAGTTTGTTACACAAGGGTTGGCATCTCCACTCCAACTTTTTGAATAGAGAGAGAAAAAAACAAAAACCAAACTGTGCCCATATTTCAAGCTGCAGACAGCAAACACCGAGTCCTGGGAGCTCAGGAGCTGCCAGACCCAGCTCAGTCCTGCAGGACTCTTGCATAAGCCAGTTTGGAAACTGCTGCTCCAGGTGCCCCATGGCAACTGTGCTCAGCACACCTCAGCAAGAGCTCAGGAAGTTTTCTCTTCATCCAAGCTTGCAGGAGTCAAGTCAGCAGCCAAATGCAAAAAAAAAATTAAACAGAGATGTTTCAATCTTACTATTTTCATGCCTTTGAATATTTTATTGCTTTAAAAGAGTGACTCCACCATCTCCCCAACTCTCCACGCTATAGTTCCATCAGTCCCCTGGTTTATCTCCCGTGAGCATTTCTGGATATGCAGATGCTTTTTTTAAAGGTAAAATGACTGCTAGGACAAAGTGTTTAACATCTTTTAAAATTATCTAAAAGCAGAATATTGACCCCTTATTTCTACCTTAAGTCTCCATAAATGCAAAGTCTTGATCAAGAGTGACATTAAGTTACATAAAAAACTGAAAAAAAACCCCACTGAATTGTCAGAAATTTACACTTCTACTGATCTGGCAAACATCTCTCCTATCACTGCTTGAGCACTAGAAAAAACAGGCCCTGGGCAGGAATTTACCTTAACAGAAATGCAGACACATGAATGACACCAGGTTTTTTTATAGACTTTTAAATTTTTATACAATAAAATTTTCAACTGAAAATACTTTATCACAACAGTGGAGCAAGCAGTAACTGCCATGTGTGCATTCACAGAACATCACGAGCTAGTACAAAGACTGACAACATCACAATTAGGATCAGACACTCTCCTCTGCTTATCTGCTGTCCAATCTCATTCCGTGGCAATGGAAGTATTTTTTGAACAGGTCTTTGCAAATGAGTTCACAGATCAAACCTCTACAGCTTAAGGGTTCTGCATAGAAATCTTCATCCTTGAGAGACGATAACAGGACTGTTCCAGCACAGTTCCCTCAACAGTTCAACAACTTCACACGTGGTCACCAAGATCTGCACAGAGAGCACAGGGGTACAGATGGCAGTGCTGGGACAAAGGGTGAGCCTACATTCACAGATGTAGATTGCTTCAGGTCTCTGCTACACATCTGAACGTGGACACTGAGCAGTTGTCTCTGCTTTAACTCCCTCAGAATTGAGCAGGAGTACAGAGGGCAGCACCTATCACAGGCTGCAAGCCTGGAGCACAACCTGGAACACACAAGGATAACACAGATAGTTCTGTACTACTTGCCCTTTTATTTTATTTTTTTTTGCCCCCTAAACCAAACTTGCAAGTAGGTAAGACCCTAATGCAGTAATTAATAAGCGAACTTTTACAAGCTGACTCCAGATACCACCTTCCTCCAGCACAACACACAGGCTGGTTCTTCCCACAGCAAGCAAAGGCAGAGGCATTGTGGGCAGAGGTCCATTCCTGTGGGCACACAGCTGGCATGCCTGCTCCTGCTCCTGCCCCCAGTCTTCCAAAGGGGAACTGTGGTCTGCTCCAAAGAATCTTGCCATCCTTTACCAAAGGCGAAAGCTACCCCTCCCTTCTGAGAACAATGGCTTCAATGATAAACAAGTCCAAAAATCCAGGCCCAGCACACCAGTCACTGCTTGGCCTTTTTCACAATGGTGCCCACAGCTGATATCACCGTGGTTTTGGATCCACTCGCGCTGGTTGTCACTGTGACAACCCCTGGCAGTGTGGCAGTGGTGGTGAGGATGGTGGGCTGAGCTATCGTTGTTACGGGGATGGCAGAGTCCCACTTGCTCTTCCTCTTCTGGGCATCTGTGAATTTGATTAAATCAAGCAAATGAGGATTAGCATTATGTTAAAGGTCACCAGTCCCTCCTTAACACCCTGACTGGCCAACCCTTAATATCCTAGACAACTTCCCCTCACATTAATTTCAGGATACATTGGCACTAAGTGGTGAGGAGGAAAGACAACTTTGTACCTCGAGAGTCAAAGTGGAACTGCACACCTGAGCTCCAGCCAAATGGGAGCCAGGATCATCCCTGCCCCAGAGCATAGTTAATTTTAACAGAGCACACGTATCCCAGTTGCTCAGCTACAGGCACAGGACACTCATCAGCCTCCAGTGTTTTTTCTCCCTTCCCCTCAGTTTAAAATGCAGGCTGTAGGCACGAGAGTGATTTTCAGTCTTTCCAAACCTCTTGAGACATATCAGTCCCAAGAATACTCTACAACCACAGAGAGTAGCAGGTTTCTTGACACACTAATAAATCACTTCACTATCCCACCTGGCCCTGGTCTTTCATTCCAGAAGGGAAGACCTGGAATACAGGGACTAGAGGAAAGCTAGTCCAACAACCCCTAGAAAAAACACACTCTTGCATTATATACACAATCAGTAAGGAGCCTTCAGGTTTCCAGGAAGCACTAATCCCAGCATTACTGCAGCTTAACTGGTACAATCCCAACTGTTCTTTACCTCCCACAGTGGTACTGGCTGTTGTGGTGGTTGTAGAAGTGGCGCTTGTTGTTGTACCCTTTTTAGTGCCAGTCACAAATTCAATCTGGGAAGGGAGAGACACATAGGAAAAAGAGGAGAAGATTAAAAAAAAAAGAAGTGTTAAGATACACAGCCTTTCTTTAACCCACAGCACCTATGTTTTTTAAAAACAGCTTTAATGTGATGTAAGACATTGGCCTCTGAGCTGCCCATCATGCAGAAAGACAGATACAGACCTCAGGCCAAAGTGTACTGAAGCCATGAGAATTAAGGATTTCTACAACCCAGCTCCTAAATCTGATGCAATAAAAATGCGTGTGTCAACTGGGATTTGATACAGCTCAGACAGGATACATCCTGGCCATTAAACACTGTATTTATACAGTCAGAAGTTCTTACCCTTTTTCCTTTAAGAAACATGCAAGACAAGCCCCTACTTGCACAATTTACTGCGACTGCATCATGGCATGAAACCTGGCAACAAGAGCCACAACAGCACTGCAGCCTCAAAACTGCAGACATGGGCAAGGATGTAATGAGATGCCTGGGTTACTGTGCAAAAAACCAAAACAAGCAGCAAGACAGAGCATGCACTGCACAAAAAAACCCTCCACCGAATATGGAGGGAGCCTTCTGCAAGGTTAGATGGCAATCTCTAACATCAGACAGTTTTCTCATGCCAGCCACTGGCTTAAAGGCAATACAGGACAGGAATAAAATCTTTCAAAGCCTGTCTGTGTTCTTTTTGGGGCGTCTATAAGATTAGCTGGGCTTGTCACAAAATGCACAAAGCTAAAATAGGTCCAATATTTCTGGAAATCAGATACAAGAAGGCAATATCAAGAACAGAAAGCAGATATTGTCTCACATCGAGATACAGTGAGGAAATTAAGCTGTAACTAGGCTATGCCACCAGGCAAAATGTCAGAGATTAAGAAAAAAGTTGTTCTTTATGCATTATCTTGCCTTTATCTGGTCTACTGAATACCATTTTTAGAGCTCTGGTTTAAAAATACTGACAAACCAGCAGGAAATCCAGTGGAATAAACAACCCAGAGGAATGGACCTATAAGGAAGGGCAAACAATCTGTGCAGCTCGGGAAAGGACATGCAAGGAGAAAGGAGAGAACCAGGGAAAAACAAGCAGTATTAGCACAGAAAGGGCAGAGCAACAAAAGGAACTTCAGCAGGCAAAGAAACAAAACCCCTGCACTTCCATCTCTTTTGGTTTTGAGGGGCTACCTTTGTGCGTTCCTTCTTGGCCTTCTCCAGTTTGTCCATTTCAATCTTCTGGGCTTTGGCTGAGAAAGATCAGAAGAAGTGAAGCACTAAGAACAGTAAAAACCCACAGCTCTCTCTCACTCACTTCCCATCAGAAACAATCCAAACCTTCAAATTCTGTATAGAAAATTAAACTGCCATGAAAGTAACTACTGCTCTTTAATCAAAACATTGCAGCACTAAATTAATGATTTAAGAGGTGAAAACACTGAAGAACCAATTTAAATGAAAAGGCTTTCTTTCCAAACTGATGAAGCATCAATAACATTCAGGCACATCCAACCAGAATGAAGTCGTTAAAGAGCAGCATGTGATGACTTCTCATTTATAAAGGAAGTGGGGACTCCAGTGCAGTTAATTAAGTACAAAACACAAAGACCTAAGCTAGGACAAAAAAGGACAGACTTCCTGGAATTACCTAGTGCCTCGTAATACGAATCCTCTGACCAGCCATGAGGGTCAAACATGTCCTAAAGAAAAAAAATAAGTCAGATTAGGGCTATTTCCACAGAGACACAAAACCCAGTTCAAAAATGTTTAAGGCATTTCTGTTCTCTGATGATAATCATGACTGATTTCTTCTTGTATACCAAAGATCACATCAGACCTTCTTTTATGGGACCACGTTCTGTTGTGAATGAAGGAAAAGCTCTGAAGCCACAAGTATGCTGGGATAAGTCATGCATTTTTCTGCTGCTCAGCTTCAGTCCCCCTTGAGGAGTTTCCTTTATACCTACACACTTCAGCAGTTTTTGTTCAGCACCATTACAGCAAAGTTGGAGGCACTGAGGCTCAGTGCCACACAAAAATGTTCACTTCAATGCAGAGTCTCAAACTGAAGTTCCCTTAAAGGACCTCTAAGCAAGCAGGCTCAAGAAAGCCTCAGGTAAGACTTTACACCTCTCTATTATCTCTTACCCACTCCCTTTCCAGCCAAAAGCACTGCACCTCACCTTTGGATAATTTGTACCAAGTTCATCAATGGAACAAAACTGGATCAGCTTTTCATAGATGCTGCAAAGGAAAAACAGGAGTTCAGAACAGAACCAGAGGTAGAAATAAACAGAAGCGCTTCAGATGTGTTGGTAGAAAGAGAATTTGTCACCTCTTCACACTGCAAGAGTGAAATCAGAACCAGGGAAGGTATGCCTGCTATGATGGATGTGGCATCCCATTAACCACAGTATTTACCACTTCCCCCAAACATCTCCCAGCTCCAGACACATCTTCTAAAATACTTCACTCATTCAAAGTGTTCACATTTAAAATCTAACCATCACACCAACACTTGCTGTTGTCTCCCAGAACACAAAGAAGAGTTTTACTGTTTCAGTCACAAAAATGAGAGAGACACTATTTGTTTGTAAGCAGTAGTCCTTCTTGCTCAGGATCCTTTTTCTGCTACAACTCCAACAAAGAGGATATTCTTGGCATTTGCTCTGTGGTGCTTTGGTCACACAGGAGAAGATGGTGGCTCACCTGGGGTTGCGAAACTCCTTTTTCCTCTGGATGATGTAGTTCATATCCATGCCCTCTTTCACTTTCCTCTCATACAGCTTTTGAATTTTATCCTACAGGAGAAAGATTACAGGGTGAGCCAGTAAGAAAAGGAGCAGCACAACAGCTGACTAACAAAAGTGTACATGTGGAAACAAGCCAACTGAACCAGTGACCTCCCTTGAGTGGAGCAAGGGTTCCACCCCTTCCAAAGGCTGGTTAATAGACACTTTCTCCTTTAAGGTCTGAAGTAGCTACATGAACTGTCTGGATTGGTAAAGGAATTGATATTTGTACTTACTGAAGGCTTCAGTGATTAAAGATTTGCCTATAAGGCAGTAGCACAGGCTTCTCCTTCCCAGTCTGCTATTTCCCTTTATAGACATGACTGTAGAGCAGAAGCCAGTTCTCAAATCCACTGAGGTTCTCCCACAGATTGCAGGAACCACCACACCCACCTTCAGACTCAGGTGTGCTGGGCTACACTGCCCAGAAGGCAAAGCTCATGGCTCTGCCTGGGTAACAGATGAGCAGAGCCAAGTTCTGCTGGAGAACTAAACCCAGTGTGATCATCAGGGATTGCTGGTGGTGCCCACTGGCAGCCAAACACTCTTGGGAACAATGCACTTGTAAATCCCTGCTTTGGTACAAGTGACCAGCCAGATGGAATCAGCTCCTCTTTGCAGATCACTCACATAGTTACAAAGCCTGGGGATAACTTACTGAAGTCCCAAGTCGCTGCAAAAGGCAACTTTAAATTAGATTGGAAATGTCAAGCAGTCTACTCTCCAAATAGACTAAAAGCTTTCAAATCAAACATGGTTTTTTTTCTTCCTCAGCAAGGTGGATAAAAGTACTTAAAAGTATTCCTACTCTAGTGATGCTGACAGCAAAGGCAGGAACTTTCAGATGGAACATGGAGTTAAGTGGTACTAGCAGGAGAATATCCTCAGTAATTTCTGTCATCTTTTCTTTAGGACAGAAATTTCTCATATTAAACAAGATCAAAGGCTGGGCCTTCACTCTTTCACGATTGGAGAGCTGAGTCAATTTGCCTTTGTTGCTTCTGGATAAGTCAGTTCATGTCTCCCTCCCTGGACAGTCAACTCAAACACAGAACTGATTATTGTCTGAGGGCTTGCTGAAGCCTGAACAAAGGAGGATTGTTAAGAGCTGATATGAAACTCCTATTTCAACAACCTTAAAAAAAAAACTTTGTAAGATAAATTTTCATCAAGTTGTCACAAAATCAGCAAGAGGAAATCACAATCTCCACATCCAGCACACACATTGTGAGGCTTGAAGGAACAACTGCAAAAAGGTGAATCTGGGAAGTAGAAGTGATTGAATAGGTGTTCCCTTTTGGCCCCTCCCCATGGAGCAGCAATATGGTTCACAAAGACCACAGATGGGGAACTACTCAGTCAACTTTCTAATAAGAAATACTCCCTTTGGCAGAGTTCAAGATACAGTTTATTAGAGGAAGAATTTGACAAAAGAGTAAGTCACCAGTGAAAAGCCCAGAATATTTTGCATCTCTGAGGAACAATCCCATCTCCTTGCTCAAAGTGCTCTAAGATGTGGTTTGACCTGCTAACAGAGGACAAGTTCTCCTTTGATTTAAACAGTAAACTGCTGTGCAAGGGGGAAAATTCTGCTTTATTCTGTCTACTCTCTCAAGCTCTGTGCATTCTTCAGATCTAACGCACCCCAGTTCATTGATGTCAGAACAGTAAAATCCTCCTACAGCACCAGAGGAGGGATGGGTGTGCCCAGGTACACTGTGTGGAGAAGAAGAAAGCATCATCTGGATGGTGAGTCACTCTGAATCACCACTGCACATTAGGAGCTACTTTATAGAGCATTCCAGAAGTGATTCTTTACTTGTATTTCTACTGGGCAGAAAACTGGACATAAAACTCAAATGGGTGGTAGGAAACAGCAGTCCCTGCTCTTTTCATTTGCACTCCATGAGGAGGAGAAGACAGCAGGTTACTGCAAAGTTGGCCACTGCAACTATCTGGGTGTGCACTGGAGAAGACATGCATCTGTCTTGTTTTGTTGCCTCTAAGTTACCAGCCTTCCCTCTAAATGTTTATCATCCAGAGAGATGTAGGTGGAAAAGGAATCCAGTCATTGCTGCCTCATCTATTCCAGTTTAGGGGATTCTTGGGCTTGTATGGAAAACAATGATTTGTTCTTTTCTACAGAGCTGGATTTGCTGAGGTAAGAGGAAAGCAGCCTTCACAGTAAACATTGCTTCTGTGGGACCAAGAGCTGTTTTAAAGCATAAATAACCCACAGAGACTGGAAAACAGCTCAAAGCTACTCTGGTATTCCTAAACTAGAACTGCTGTAAAGCCTAAAGCATTAACACAGTGCATTCATAAACTCAGTGTGGTAAAACCCAGCTTTAATACTGGAGTTTTGCCTTGTGCAAAAATACTGAGCAGAGGTCCCAAACATGCCCTCTCCCTTCTGAATTACAAGCCTTTAAAAAGAATGAAGTGGACTTATACCAACCTGCAACTGGTTAGAACATCTGCCAGGAGGCTCAGGAGGGATTTTGATCTCATCTGGAGACATGTTCCGCACTCTCTCTGAAAAAGAAGCTGGAGAGAGCAATGTGGGCATGAGTTCTGGCAGTACTGAAGGGAGTTTCAGCCATGCAAGTCATTAAATTGTTTTATGTCCCTGCTGGCACCACTCTGTCATTGGGAATCAACAGGCAAAGGTAATGGGAATGCTGCCAACTGGTAATCGTGGTGTTTTCAAGATGCTGAGCAAGAAGCAACTAATCTAAAGGCTACATCATTATAAGAGGGACAAGATGTTTGTTTTATTGATAACTACCTCCAGCTGTGGTTCTGTGTCATACCCATGCTTAAAGCTTCATTTTCAGGGGTCCCTTCATCCCCAAATGGAAATGTAAAAGCTAAGCTACTTCCACTCCAGCTGCAACTGTTGATAAGATCCTCAAAAGCAAAGAATCTTCAGAGGAATAAAGGTTGGGTCATGGCATGAATCCCTAAACCCCTGCACTGTGCACCACACACCCAACCCTGCACTACTCCAGGTCTCCCATACACACCTTCAGGTCCTGCTCTGAACAGTGCAGTAACCTGGAGTCTCTGCCAAAGCCTGTGCCAGGACACTCTTGGAGAGAGGATCAGACCACGCATGTGGAGGATCACAGGATCAACTCTATGCAGCCTGGCTCTTTGCCATTTTGGGGGAGGTAATCACTTTGGGTCCTATTTAGATCAAGACATACCTAGATGAACCTAAATGGTTCAAGAAGGGAACAACCATCCCCAGGGCTGTCAGGAATTAACCACAAGAAATTACATTTCATCCCTAAGTTAACATTTCCTTAACAGGCACTTTGATCTCTGCTTACAGAGACAGACTACTGGGAGAAGGAACAACTCGTTCTGCAGGACTGGGAACAGACCAGCACAGCCTGCCAGATTTCTATAGCTGTTTGTGTTGGGATATACTATTAAAGTACCTGATTGCCCTCTAAAGATTAGTTTACAGAGTTATCAGCAAAAGAAACTGCTGTGCTTCCCACTATTGCTTGCTACTTTCCCACTATTACGGGAAACCCAGGCAGTTATCTAGCCAAGTCTTGGAGCAGAGATTTGTGCCACCTTTAAGCAGCTGGGACTGTTTTCAAGCATAGTTTGTACAGGGAACACATTCCAGAGTTGGTCTGCAGTGGATAAGAGACCTGACAGCAGCACAGAGGTCATATCAACCAAGTCAGCTCCTCAGCTGTACACTGCTCAGTAGAAGCTGCCTGAACTGCAGTTCCAGCTCACTGAGCTCAGCAACTCTGAATAAAGGCCAGAAGGGCCCAAAGGACAGACACCGGTGTTGGAACCCAGGAGAGCTGGGGCTACAGATAAGCAACACTACACATGATCAGTGCTACTACAGTTTCCATGTCTTTTGTAAAAATGTGAAGCACTAAGGACAACATCCTTTGGAGATGCAAAGCTGGCAGGCGACCACTCATTCTGTTTGATCAAGATGTTGTTGAGGGTTAAATTCTTCAGCAGCTGCCAGTAAGGAACAAAAAGTGTCCTTTGGCATTTACTAAGAGGGTGCCTCTAAGGAAGAAGGAAAGCTTGCCAGAGCCCCAACAGAAAGGCAGGCAAAGGGAGCTCCCTGACAACAAGGCAGACATTTGTTATAGGTTACAGATGCTGGTGGGATGAGGAAGCCTCTGGTTTAATTAGAGCTTCAGGAACTCAAAGACAGGAACATAATACACAGCACACTAGGCTTGCTGGGAAAGGTGAAAGCTGATTAATGGCTTAAGAGATTCACAGCATCAGCAGAAACATTAAAAAATAAAAACAACCACTAAATACAGACTTCTTAAGGCAAAGAAAGGACCTAAAAAAAAAAATAATTCAAAAAAATCAAACCTAGCTCCAGACTAGACATCCCATAGGCTCCCTTGTCTTTGCAGATGACCAGAAGAGCCACGGAGAAACAAAACATTTGTGGGAACTGTGGGGTCATAAACTCAGGAACTCTGGGCAAGACCTCTGTCTAACCAGCAAAAAAAAGTTAAAGTCATAAGTGAATGTTCAGTAACCCATTCAAAGCTCTCTTGAAACAGAAATAATACTGGAGGCAGAACAAGAGCTCCCAATGAGACAATATATTTTGATGCATGACTTTCAGGTTTTGGTGCTCATTTCCTCCTTTGTTTGAGCCATCATTTATCAACATCATACTGATGGGGGAAAGCATCTCTTAACAGCTTACAAGGAACTAGAACTAATGCATCTTTGTCTCCTGCAATCCCACCATAGCTGTACGTAGCTGAACACTGAGTCAGCACAGAGGATACGTGCACCTCACAAACCGAGCACAAATATTCAGCATTACTCAATTCTTTCATCACATTGCAGCCAGACTGAGATGCCACATCACTAAGAAGAAAAGGGTGAGTTTAAGGATGAGTTTAATGCCTTTGGGCTCATTTACAGTAAGGAAGTACAAATTATCCATGCCCTCCAGCAGCCCTCAAACTCCCTCCCCTAACAGACAGCAGAATGGCTGATTACGCAGCATCTTTCCACCAGTTCTTTCCATAGAGGAAAGGGCAACTGGGATGATCATTCAAAATAATCCTGGAACTTGCATATATGGCCACAGGCTCCTGTATAAAACATGCTGGTGTAAAGCTGCCCTTGGGACTTTGAAAACACATCTATACAGCAGTAACTGCAGATGAACAGCCAGCAACAAGGTGTGTCCTCACCGGATACATCCAACTGCTTTGTGCATCCTGTTATTCCTGCCAAGATCAAAGTTTTAAATTCACATGAGTCACAGGTGACACTGGTTGCAGCCTCTAATTGGTCTGTGATTTGCAGGCTCCCAGCCTAGAGGATCTCCAAGTGGAGACGTCAGGAAGTTGGCTGTTGGCACAATTAATCAGTCCGGGCACACCCAGATTCTGGCTCACAGTAAGTAAATATCTTCCCTGAATCAGATTTATAGTCCAGAAGAAGAACTAAGGTCATGAAACAGATCCCAAAATTCAGATGAGGGTTCAAGAAAGTAGGAGCCAATGCCTCTCAAAGCATCCTGCTGCTGGACACCACCACTTAGGGTGTACCTAGCAAAGATTCAGCCTCTCAGTCATCAATGAAGGATAATTGCATGACATATTTTGGTGAGGCAGATAATTAAATGGAAATACTACATTAAATCTGCTTCAGTTTGAGATAGATGGGTTATCTGACCTATGTCCAACAGTACAGAGACAATCTGCATAGCAGGAGAGAAGATGTCACAGCACAAACCATGCCCTTCCTTCCAGAAGGAAATGACTGCTCTCAATCCAAAGGCTGTGCTGGAGACATGGATGGAGGGCACACAGGAGCTTTGTTTCCCACAGATGGGTAGGAATGTTTTCCTGGTGCAGAGAAAACCAAAATGATAGAGAGTATAATGGGTGTACAGGACAGACCAAGGTGTGGATCATCTGAGGTCTGGTAATGCTGCTCCCCATGTAGGATAAAGAACTCCCAAGGTTCACTTACATGCTGTGTTTTTTGCAGTCACAAGGGATTAGAGGCAGTTCAGGTGCCAGTTTGTTTCTAAAGGTCACACTAGGCAAAAAAAAAACAAGGAAAGACCTGGAAAGGGTGATCAGAGGGACGTGGGTTTCCCCTGGAGACATGCAAACCGGTGGTGCCTGGTCTCTAAAACTGCATTCTCTGGCACTCTGTCTGCTTGGCATAAACCAGGGTGTGTGGGTTTCTGATTTCCTGGCACCAGAACAGCCAAATCAGAGGGAAAAACTGGAGGCAACAACATGCCAGTGAGTCACCCATCCATGGAAGGACACTAGTTCCCTTTCTGCTCCGTGGGCTGAGAAATGCAGAAAGAGACCTGCAACTCAGCCGTACTTTCTGCTCTCATGAACACTGAGTTTGTGCTCAGACATCCTGAGGGCTGCAGAGAACTCTTCTTACAGTCCAAAAGGTAAACAACCATGCTGCAAAGAACTTCAGGGCAAAAATACCTGCATCCTAAAAGTATTATTTTGCAAGGCTGGAGGAAACAGCAATTGCAATGTCCTGCCAGCACCATGAACTGTTCAGAGCAGTACAAAAACCCCAAAAGGACAATGCTGAGGTAGAAATCTATGAAAATAAGCTTCACATGTACTTCCTTCTCAAACATGGGGCAGTTAAGGCTAAAACTTTCCCTCCCATTCTTTTCAGGCATTGATTATGTGATCATTATTTCAGCATAAGGCAGGACAACCATGCCCTTCCCAGCTGCTCATCCCTACTATTTTCTTTTTGCCAGCTCCAGTGCTCACCTAGCATGCACTAAGCAGATCATGGAGAGGATCCAGCTGGAAGCCTCACAGGGGAGAAAAAAAAAGAAGAAAAAAGAAAGAAACAATAAAAAAAAAAGAGCAGTGAAGATGGATCTCAGCTGGCTCCCACTCCCAGAGCAGCTCAGAGCACACAGACTTTAAAATGCATCTGGGGGAGGTAAAACAGAAACAGGATTTTTGGTAGGAGCCTACATTTCTTCTGTACTTAACCAAAGACTTTAATAAAGGTGACACTGAAAAATGCAAGGTTACCTTCTGAGGAGGGCAGGCCCACAAGTTTTTAATGCAAAAAAATCAATCGTGGAAAACTGTCTGAGGATGATTTTGACTTCCATATACTGAGAGACAAAACTTTAGATGTCCTCCAGATGGGGGAAGTTACTTGCTTCATGTCAGAAAATTCTGCACTTTCTCCATTAAAGAAGTCTAATTCTGAAAGGCCAAGTTTTCAGCAAGGGAGTGGTTGTCAGGTTACACCAACCATGGGGCTCTTGCAACAGTTCCTTCTCAGCCAGATAAGATATGGTCTAATGCAACAGACCTCCAGAATCCGCAAGTATCTGACCTCTCATAACCTGGTTCTGCACAAAGCCAGCCTACCCACTGCTCTGTGTGTGCTGCTGTTGGGAAAGGATATTAAAGGTAAGAGTGCAAAGAGACCTCAATCCAGGTCTCAGACTCACCAACACTGTTCACTCATGAGTTGTGACACTAATCAGTGCCCCCTGTGCGGATTTTAAGCCTGTGTGCAAATCTGGGCCATCATGAGACAAACTGAGATTCAGACTTCTGATCTCCTGTGGATGGGACACTCACTGGGGGAAGAGACTAAGAAAATTATAACCTGAGCCTAACACCTTCACTAAGAAAGGACTTCCCACTGCATTGCTTTACAACTGCAGACCTTCACCCCTATGTGAAGCAGAGACTAAAAGGGCAGTGGGCTTTCAGACATTCCTATTTACTTTTTACCCCAAATTCTGTTGCCTCACCCATGTTTCTAGTGTGCATTTTGAGGCAGATCAGTAGATTGGGGAAACATTTCTGTTGCATTTTATGATGAGACTGGTTAAAGCAGTTTTGCCCTGTAAAGGCTGAAAATCCAATATAACATTTGGGCTGGTGCAAAGTCTGGGCAGGCCAACTGAAAAGAACTTAACTCCAAAGCTTCAGAGTGATGGCTGCTGTAGGAGCCACAGCTTAGCATGTGAGTATTTGCTGTTTTAATTTACATTTATCACACTTTATAGGTGAAATACCATGCTTGAGCCTTGACAAGCTGATTTGAGAGATGAAGCAACTTCCAAACTCATTAATTTTTAATGATATTATTACATGATACCACACAACTGTACTAGTAACCTCAGGAACAGAGGGTCAGTTCAAGATAGTCACAGATGAAACATAAAATACAGTTTCTGTACAGCTCCACAGAGACCAAGAGAGGATTTTGTATTTCAAGCTGACAATCCTAGGCTTTCCAAATCTAATAATGGTGCAATAAATAAGTGAAATGCCACAAAAATCAAGTTTTAGTAACCATTAGAACACATGCAGCACACTGTCAGCACGGCAGCTATAAATCTTTAAGTGGATCATATCTAAATATGGATACTTTTGATAAGTTTTTCAAGCCACAGAACAAATGTCATCATTCCTGGTTCCACTGGCTCTCACAGAGGTGTCTAGACAAAGCTATTCTATCGTGTTTAAAAAGCACCAACACTGCCCTTTACATAGATATTTTAAACATATAATACATGAAACTATTTTCATATTTTAAGGCATGGTGCCTTTCTCCCAGAACAAGACTTCACTGAAAGCATTCCAGTGAGATAAAACATTGCAGGCATTAATTTGAAACTACAGCATTGCCAGGACAGAGGGAAGGTGCTTTTTACAAACCAGGGTTTAGAAAGTCTAGTTTGAAAAGAATATGTGAATATTCACTTCTGAGTGAACTTACCAACTAGCTCCTGAGGATCTCTTTTCTCCACTTCTGAGAATTCCTGGGAGAAAGGAGGAAGAAACATATTTTAGTCAAGGCATGCATCCAACCTAAAAAGCTATGTTGTTCATTTCTTTAGAAATTTACACATTAAATCTGAGACAAAAGAATAACAATTAAGAATGAAACACAATTTATTAGATAAGAAGGCAATGTCTGTACAATGGAGAGTCAAAGCCTTATAGGATGCTCCATGTCCTTTCCAAGCTTGAGTCTAAATTTTATGAAGGAATTAAGGCATCATTTCACTGAGTCCTGGACACTCAGCTCCTTTTGAATTTTGCAGAAACTGTTGTACTTGAAGCCTTTCCTCTAAACAGATCAAACCATAGATTCTTCATTTTGGGTGACTGGTCTTTGGCACCAGCCAAGAGCCAATGTTTTGGAGCACAGTTAAGTAAATACAGTTAAGCAAGCTGGATCCAGCCCACAGAAAACTACTCTAGTCCTGGGAATGCCGACCACAGGCCAGTGCAGGGTCAGCCCGATGTATTCCCTAGAGGAGCATGGAAATAGCTGAGATTCTCCCAGAGCCAGAGCACCATGACTTCAGAGCAGCACCTGAGCAGCCTCTCCAGGGTCCTGGGGTGCAGAGGTTTGCCAGATGTGTTTGTGTGGTGTCAGAATTCGTTTCTGCAGTTGTGCCACTCAGGGCTTTGGCTGACAAACCCCCCCACAAACCAAAATGCCCGGGAGCGTGGTGGTGATGCAGATCCTGTATTCCCATTTCCCACTGTCAGTTCCCTTGGCTGCTACCTTCCAGGAGGGATATAACCAACCTGCTCTACCAGAAACTCAAGGGCAACCTCCACTGACTTGTAGTGCTCTGCTTGGAGATCTTCCCAACACAGCTAATCCCCACTTCAGTTGCAGATGTTTGCACCAGACTGCGCTGAGCAGGAGGCTTTATGTAGGATAAGACACTCTTCAATATGTTTTCCCCATACTGAGACCAATGTCCAAATATTTTGGTGTTTCTGGGAGACCCCAGGAGAGTCACAAGCAATATCAAGTTCAGCACAAACAAAGTTTCTGAAACAGTACCAGCTGTATCCCAACATTGCCCTCTCCCCCCTGCCTCCCTCCCAAAGACCTTTTGTGACTCACTGGACTGTGTGTCCAAAATTCCTCAGTGCCTCCAAACACTGAAGCTATTCATTCAACCTGACACACACATAATGCTGCTTCCTTGCTGCTTAGTAACCACTCTCTAACCCCCTCCTTTACTCCATTTCCAGTCAGGTGAGAGATGCATCAGGTGAGGGGAGAGCAGCGAGGTCACCAAGCCAGATGTGGGGAACAGCCTGTGCCAAATTCACTGTGAAAATCCACCTATTTTCAAGAGAAGCCAAAGCTCTCTGGAAGCAGAAAAAAATTCTTTGTGTGGCACTAACTGCTACAAGGCACTTTTTATAGCCATTCATGGAAGGAAAAAAAAAAAAAGGCACTATTTCTCCATTAGTACACTTGGATCACAGAAATACAAGACTAAAGCTATTTTAGAAAAAGAAAGAAGTACACAAAGGAACATGCATCTTCTCCCTGGCCAGCTGGCGAGGCCCCAGGCCCCTCTGAGATGGACTGTAGTGTTACAGCTCCAACCCCTTGATAATGCACTTGGTGTGTGCATCAACATCTCTTCCGCAGCACAGGCAGAGAAAAAGCTAAACAGAAGCATGACATTTCAAAGCAGGAAATTTATGTCAAAAGAAGTAGCTCTCTTTGGGGAGAGCACTGGACAGGAATCCAGGGAATGTAGGCAGTGTCCTCCACAAACCTACAGGGACATGTTGTAGGATATATCGTGGGCAGCCTCAACCACATCGAGGTGGCATTAGCACAGTGAGCTTCAGGTCACCACTGGAAAAGTGGGGACAATTCTGTGCTAACTAAGGGGCTGTGAGGACAAACTCAGATGAACATGCAGGCTGGAGAAGTTCACAGAGCCACAGATGCAAGGTAACATATGTCCAGGCACATACAATGACTCAGGAGCAGTAAACACACGTGGTCAGAAAGCTGCTTTATTGCCTTTAGGGGAAGAATTTGCTAGATGGGTAATTACAAGTATTTCTCGCCTTGGTTTGAGACAACAAGCAAATGTTTATTGAGGGAAAGGAGGGAACTGCTTGTGTTCCAGCCTTGACTAAATTACATCCTGTGCTCTTATCTCTTGAAAGTTTTAAGTGGACTGAGAGGGAAGAGGAAGAGACAGGCTATATCCCTGAGCACCTCTTGATCCTTCCTCATACCCAGCACTGTATTTATTATTCCATTATCCTTCCCATCTCCTTCTACCCACTTGTTCTCTTACCATCCAAGAACACAAAGGCAAGAGAAAAAAATCCCCCAAATCACCAATATTTCTGCCAAGCAGGAACTTAAGCAACCCAGTGGCAAGCCAAATTCAGTTGCATTAGACATGTGCAAAGCACCCCCAAGAATGCTGTGCTCTTATTTGGGACACTGACAGGTTTGCAAGGGTCTGTGCTGCCTTCCTGACATTTTCAGAAGCCCATTTTCAAGTCTCCTGTAGATGTCTGGACTTAGTACCAAGCATAAGCACACAATCCTCAGGAAACATGAATGAATATGCTGAGAGATTCTTTGATGGCCCAAACCTCTCCTGTTATGTACATCAGACAAAAATGCCCAAAAACATCAGACGTGTTAAATGGTACATTTTAAGAATTTCCAGAATCATCAGTGAGTTTGCTTTCACTAGAAGCAAGTTTGGTCTTTAATTTGCATCCTTTAAGCTTGCCTCACTTGTAAGAGGCTAAATCAAGCCAGTCCTATCAGGCCCCACTGTTTTCCCCTGGCTCCCATCGCCCACACTCGTTCCACCACAGCAGCTCCAGCAAGTCTGGTCCCCACATCCCCAGGCCACAGCCAAGACATCAGAAAGCCCAGAGCTACACCAAGCAAAAGCAAACACGTTCACCAACACATCAGAGCCACACCTCACTGCCCAGGGGATATGAATTCTGCTTACTGATGAGTTACTGTGCACCTACACCCCCTGCTCCATCATTAACAAGCTGAAGACATCAACACAGCTTTTCATTAACTCAAACTCCTTTCAAGCCTTCAGAAAACAAAGGGATGACCGACTCCTCCTACAGTGCTTGTTCATATTTGCTCAGTTTGCTGTTGAAAACTGAGGCAAGCAGCAACAACTTGACCCAAGTTTGGCAGATGTGAGATTTAAGAAGTCCTGTTCAAACCTCTGAATATCTACTGAAGATCCAGAATGTAGGACAGCCTAAAAAACCCAATCACCCAAAAAGAACTGCTCTGCACTCCCTTAGGCTAAATTAAGTCTCAGACACACGTTGAATACAATGAGCCAATTGGAAAAGACAGCATCTAAAAAAAAAAAAACAACCTGGAGATCTAATCTTATACACTATGTTGAATGAAATGGAGAATCATGAAGTGGAAAAATAAGGTACAATAAATACTGCACAGTTCCTACCTTTTGGTTATGAAAGCGAAGAAATATTTATGCGTGGATGAAAGATTTGTAAAGGAATTCCAAAGCATTTAAACAACGGAAAATTTGGAAGGTAACTGAATTTTAAATAGGGAAGTTGCCTAAATCCATATTGAGGCAAAGGTGATCTTTTTAGATTTTTGATCTTTTATAGATTACATCATCTATACCCACCACACTATGTATCAGTATCTCACACAAAGAGCACAAAATCAAGCAGGTAAATGGTTCCAAGCAGGGGGAAATCTCTTTATCAGAGTAAATATATGAAATTAGTAGAGACTTCAAGTATCCCAGAGCTAAAGGCAAAATTTAATGGTTCATTTCCATATGAATTCTGAAAACCTTGTTATTTTTTCAATAAATTAAGACTTCACTAGCAGCACCTATACTGTAAAATTTTCACAAGCACAACCTCTGAAAACCTGTGTGGAAGCATCTCTGAATTTACTTCTGCAGCCAGCCCCTTGCTACTTGCACAAAGTCAGCTTGGACACATTATTTATGCTGGAAATTCTCTCTACCATCATGGAAATACAACACTCAGGGCAAATCCCACAATGTTCTGTGTTAATTTTTTTTTCTCCAGTCATTTTACCCCATCTAGCATTACATGATGATCTCTAAGAATAGCTTGACTGAGTTTAAAAAAAAAAAAGGCATTCCTGTACTTTATCATGCACTCAGCAAGTTGATTTTCTGGCTGCCATCTCTTTTGCAGCCTTGATCTCACAAGATCAACTGTTTAAGGGCCTAAAGCCAGAGGGCCTTGCTCCAGCAGACCCACTGAGAGGAGTCAAGGGATGCCATGGTGGTTCAGAGCCAAGCTGGAAGAAGACTGAAAGACAAAGACAAGCAGGAGGCAGACTCCTTTCCCCTGATCTGGAGACTAATAAAGAGCAGACTCTGAAGAGTGTGCTATGGGCAAAGCCAAATTAATTAAAAAAATAAAAAAAAAATCAAAAACCAATGAGAACCCCCCCACCACCTTTCTAAGCTTCTAACTGACCACTAACATAAATCACAATTTCTGTGCCTCTAGGAACAATTGTGCACATCACTGATAGCCAATAACAGTTATGATATAACTATTCCTGTGTGAGTTCAGGAAAAGGTTTTTCATTGTTTCCACTTTCCCAAGACAAATGTATTTTTCAAGCCCTGGACAAGATGACGCTGCCTGCAAGAGCCTGACTGATAAGCACCCAGATTGCTGGTTTTCATGTATCATAATCAGTTAAAGAAGAACAAGCTGAAGGGGAGTGTGTGTGTGTACATGAATACAGAAGATGCTGCATTCTGGTTTAAGCTTTCACCTCGCTGAGGTGAAATACAGACCATCTTTCCAGTCCCAGAGTGTTTCCATACAGTTCATAAAAACCAGTGCCTGCTCAGGTTCCATGGAAAATAAAAACAACCAAACACAATCCTCACAGCATGGAACAGAGATTAAAGGAAGGAAGCAAAAACAATATGAATCTGAGACTGATGAATTCCAGTTTGGA